GGAGCAAACCAAATAATATCGTCAGCATACAGAGCAATGCGATGCAGCATTTCCTATTCTTATGCCTTTATAGTTGGTACTCTTATGGACTGCCATGGCCAGTGGTTAAATTGCTAATGTGAATTACAAGGGGGAGAGGGGGCAGCCCTGTCTTGTTCCCCTGTGTAATTTAAATCTGGCTGATTTTTATTTATTTTATTATAAAAATTACCTACTGCAACATTCTTAAGTAATTTTTCATCTCTTAAAAATAATATAATATGAACATTGAAAGAGGTTTTGTTCGGTTGTAATCATTCCTCTGGCTCACAAAGACAATAAAAAAAATGTTATGTCAGTGAGTTTAACAAATCAAGAGGGTATCTTCCAAAGTTAAGGCAATTTTAGTATACAATTTCCTCTTCTTGTTACTATGCTTTATTATGGTCCTTGGAAGATATTAACTTTGTAGCAGTTTGTATCAGTTTTTGAATGCATTTTGCACAGAAGGTGTTCTGAGGATTTTGTCTCCCATCTCTTTCATTGGAAGGGCACTAGGGAGGTGCAGTGTAAACACAGGGAGGTGCAGATTAATCTGTGCTCCATTGAAGTCCATTAGAATTAAAACTAGGCGATACAACACATATCACAATCCAGGGGTTATGATTCAATATATTGCGATACTGTAATCAAAGAGATATATTGTGATTTTTTTTTAAATCTAATTTTAGGAAAACTTTCATAGTATAAAGAACACACCACCATATGCAGAAAATCTGAGTTAAAAAGAAAAATACTTGCAACCAGAATAGTGGGATCTGCATTATCACAGTCCCCCTTTTCCAGTATACCATACTTTTTGCTTATTGCTTATTTTTGCTATTTGCTTAATATTTTCAGCTGTCTTGCCTTCACCAGGGCCGTGGTTAGTATGAACAGGAGGAATAACCTGTTTTCACTGTACATATGGGCACCTGACAATTGTTTTAAGACAGGCGTGAAAAATTGTGAGCCTATCCTGCAAGTTATATAGCTTTTCACACTCAGTCGCACTAATCACCTGTACTTAACCTGCCTAAAGGCTTATACACTCGTTGCTAATTTAGTCTTCAGTCTGAAGATAACAGCCTGTCACATCAAAATACCCTGAGTTCAGAATCTAGATTGAGCTATCCATCTATCCCTTCTATAAACAGTTCTTCAAGAAGTCTGTTACAAAGCTCTTTCTGGCCAGAGTTGGGGCACCCTGCACTTAAGCTGATTTACCACTGACTAACTTTGCATTACAATAGCAGAAAGGGCCTACTCTCTTGCTCTGGCAGCTTCACAATCTTTGTTCGCTAGCCAATCGAGGGCTGTTGCCTTGGGTCACTGGATCAGCTTTAATTGCATTTGGAGATGAGAGAACGTGCAAACATTTTCTTTTTGGTTTCTGGTAGGAACACAGCCCCCCGCTTTCAAATCAGCATTTTTTGAAACGCTGACTGACACTCTGTGCTAATAATTACAGCCATGCAGGACGGTCATAGCAAAACAACTGCACTTTAAATTAACTTGCATTAACCTTATTAACCATCTTAAAAGCTGTAAGAAAGAGTGAAAGATTAATGTAGTGACCATCTTCACGGGCCATAATGAAAACATGTTTAGTCGGCTGTAGTTAATTAAAACTAATTCCATGAGTTTGCAAAACTGCTAAATTAAACTACTGCCTTCTGGTTATGATCTATGCATACTTCATGAATTATTTAGGCTTGACCAAGATTTGTTTCCGCAACAAAGAAGCACCATTCTCAATCATTTTGATGGCTGAAAGTATTTTGATTGCTCACTATCTTTTTTGCATTTTAGAAAGAGCGTCCTAAATCTTCTAGAGAAGCAACTAATTACATTTTTAGTATGCATAAATCTGCAGATTATTATTTGTCATTTATGTTTAATTCCTCATGTTTTTATTTCTTTAAATAATTTAGGTGGTCGGGGGACAGACACAGTATGGGATTTTGCGTGGAAGCGCAGAGAAATTAAATAATTTCCCCCTGGGATTATTAAAGTATTTCTGATTCTGATTCTGAAGTGTGTAAGACAGCAGCTCTGCTTCCTGGTCCCAACTCTGGACTGTCAGGTTTTAGAAATAAACGTAGTCATATTCGTAGATAAGAGAGCCACTCCATCCACAGTGGGATGGATGCCGTCGCTCCTAATCAGACCAGGTTTTCCCCAAAAAGGCTGCCAGTTATCTATGAAGCCCACATCGTTTTCTGGACACCACCTCGACAGCCAGTGGTGGAATGACGACAAGCCACTATGCATGTCATCACTGGTCACATTGGGCAGGGGTCCAGAGTGTGAAGAAAACTATGGAGTCCAACATTGTTTTTTGCATATCTACACACCGACTCCACATTAATTTTAGTGACTTCTGATTGGCGTTATAGGGCGTCATTACCGCTGACGTGAATAACTATTTTACTTTTACGTTTATCTTAAGTGATGGCATGTGGCAGGAAAGATTTCCTATATCTGTCCCTTCGACAGCGGAGCTGGAGCAGCCTGTGAGAGAAGGTGCTCTGCTGTCTGACCATTGTGTGTTGGAGAGGGTGCTGATCATTGTCTATGATGGATAACAGTTTATTCAGCGTTCTCCTCTCCACCACGGACTCAAAAGACTCCAGCCTGAGACCAAGTACAGAGCCAGCCATCTTGATGATTTTATCAAGTCTGTTGGTGTCACTGGCTCTCTGGTCTTGTTGACATTCAGCCTCAGGTGATTCTGTTCGGACTACTCTACAAAGTTGTCTACCAGTGTCCTCTACTCACCCTCATCTCCCCCTCTTATACACCCGACAACAGCTGAATCATCAGAAAACTTTGGTGGCATGACTCAGACTTGTACTGGAAGTCAGTGGTGTATAAGGTAAAGAGGAAGGGAGAAAGCACAGTTCCCTGTGGAGCTCCTGTATCACTGACCACCACGTCAGACAGGACACTGCCCAGACGGACAAACTGTGGCCTGCCTGTCAAGTAGTCAGTAATCCAGGAGATCATAGTGTCGTCAACACCCACCCGCAGCTTCTCACCCATCAGCAGAGGCTGAATGGTGTTGAAAGCACAGGAGAAATCAAAGAATGTGATCCTCACAGTGCCTCCCCCACCATCCAGATGCACATGGGCTTGTTGCAGCAGGTAGATGACAGCATCATCGACTCCTAAATGGGTCTGGCAAATTGCAAAGGGTCCAGAAACGTTCTCACCTGTGGCCTCAGCTGGGCTAAGACCAGTCTCTCCAGGACCTTCATCACATGCGATGTTAGGGCGACTGGTCTGTAGTCTGCCGGGTCGGATGGCCTCAACTTCTTGGGGACTGGGACAAAGCAGGAGGTCTTACACAACAACGGGACTTTCTCCTGACTCAGGCTCAGGTTGTACAGATGTCCGAGTACAGGAGACAGCTGGCTGGCACAGGTCTTCAGGATCCTGGGTGAGATGCCAGGAGGGGGGGCAGATGGAGAGGTGTTGTACAGGAGAATGTTGGGGGGAGGGTCGAGCCATTTGGGACAGTGTGAGTGTGTGGGGGTCTGGGGGTGTCGGAGGGGTAGCAGGAGGTGAGCTAAACCTGTTGAAAAACTGGTTATACTGATTAGCTCTATCCAGGCTCCCAGATGTCTGCCTGTCTTTCCCCTTCATCCCCGTGATGTGCTTCATTCCCACCCACACATCCCTCACACTGTTCTGTTGTTCCTGTAGTTGTCCTTGCACGTCGTCAGCATCTCTCGGAGTTCGTTCTGCTCTCTCCTCTGCTCCTCTCTGTCACCCGACCTGAAAGCCTTCTTCTTGTTATTTGCTTGTTATTGGAGAAGCAGTGAACGGTCCGGGCTGGCATGGTGGTGTCCTCACAGAATCTGATATAATCCGTAATGGAGTCGGTCATCTTATCGATGTCCTCCCCATGTGGCTCACAGAGTACATCCCAGTCTGTCAACTCGAAGTTGGGTTGAATATCTGAAACTGGGGCTTGATGACACCATTCCTGATGACATAGTCAAAGTATTCTGTCTCAGCAGAAATCTACTTGGAAGTGCTTCTCCCAGGAATGACTATAAATCACAAAATAAATCCACGTTCTAGGCAGAGGCAAAATCTGCTACCATATAGTATCAGTAGCATAACCGGTGTACAGACGGCTATCACCTGTGAATGCCAGGCGTCAGGCACATGGTCAGGGGCTAAGGGAGTTGGCAACGATAGATACTGCTTTTCTACCTTCTACTCTTTCAAATTTCTATTAATCAGGACACTAAGCTTCTCTCGAGGCCTGGGGACCCACTCCATCAACAGGTTGACATGTAGGACCTGAGTGGGGTGACCCCTACCTGCTGGTACCTTACCGGTTGTATAGCAACCGGTGCCATATTGGCACTGGGCTTCGGTACCCAACCCTATAGAGGATGTGGTGGTACCTGTCCACAAAGCCTGGCGTTTGCCCATCAAGTAACATAATTGAAAAGTATTCTTACATATGTGTTCCTGTGGTCCAGGTGGGAGAGGGCAGTGTGGAGTGCTAGGTCGTTGTTGTCATCCATTGATCTGTTTGGCCTGTATGCAAATTGTAGTGGGTCAGGAAGAGAGCAGGTTTTGACTAACTGCTCAAACACTTCCTGATGGTGAAGGTGAGTGCAGTAGTTGTCCAGGCAGAGGGCTTTAGCCTTTTTGGGAACAGGCATAATGGTGGTCTTTTTGAAACGTGGGGACTGAGCACTGAGAGGTTGAAAATTCTTTGAAGACATCCACCAGTTGATCTACACACGACTTGAGAGCTCAACCGATGTGCACCATCAGGAGCATTTTGTGGTTCAGTATCTTGCTTAGCCTTGGAACCTTCTGATTAGTGGATGACCCGCTCTACCTCTGAGCGACAGCCGCCCACAAGCCCAAGTTGCATGCATTAGTCTGCTTTTCACGGTTTATCACCCACTTCCCCGTTAACCCTGTGTTCTGTGTTCATTCTTGTCTCCATTCAGTCTGACTCTGCACTTACCAAAGGATGTGGGGTTAATAGCAGTATCTGCTCGACAAAGCCAGGGCAGAGGTCAGTGCTCCAGCATACTGTAAACTTGTATATGCAACATTCACACAAACCTAAAATGTATTGACGTACTGAAGTTTCAGTTGCATGCACTTTTGTTTTTATTGATCTTATTTGTCAAATGTATGTCATAAGTGTTGCGCCCCCTTGTATGTTTGTTGCTGCTGCAGGTCGGGGCAGGAATGCCTGGCTCAGCCCTCTGGGTTGTGCCATGTTCACTCTGGCGGTCCAGGTTGAGCTGAGCTCCAGGCTCGGACAGAGGATTCCCTTCCTGCAGCATCTGGCTGCTCTGGCAGTAGTGGAGGGTGTTCGCACACTTCCTGGATACCAGGTACCATATTATCAGACTGTGTTAGCCTTCACATATTTTGTAAGTTTGCCCATACAATGTCCATCTGAATATACCCTAAACATTAAAATAGTTGTCTGTAGTAGCACAATATCATATTGTATCACCGGCATATTGTATCACAAAGCAATCATTTGTTAAAGGCCATTGCATTAGGTATTAATTTAAAATGTCTTATGTTATAGATTGATGATGTCTGAACATATTTCATATCTTCACCAGGACTTAGACCTGAGGGTGAAGTGGCCCAACGACATCTACTACAGTAACCTAATGAAGCTTGGGGGAGTCCTTGTGACTTCCACTGTAATAGGATCAATCTTTCATCTGCTCATAGGTAAAAAGGTCCCCCTTAATTAGACAGGGGCTTTTTCAGCCTCTCCTGAAGATGGTCCTTCAGGAGAGGCTGAATTGTTAATTGTTGCAGAAAAAGTGGCATCCCGCTTATCTATAAACACATAATTCATGGGGTTATTATAATGATCAGCTGTATGTGTCATTAGAAAAGAGCAGAGAAGCAGAATTACTTGTTGACTGGCGCAGAGACACGTACATCTGCTGTGAATAGCCAGGCTCACACTTGAATTGACATATCGCAGCAGTTTGCAGCACATCCACCTCCTGTGTGTCCCTAGCGTCAGATCAGTATGTACAATGATTTTCTTCACAATTTGGGTTTGAGTGGCAACAATTAGTCAATTAATCAATTATGTGTCAGCTATTTAATTAATCACAAACTATTTGGCATTTGATTACTTCTTTTGAGTATTTTTTAAAGAAAATAATTCAAATTCTCTAATTTCAGCATTTTCTAGTTTCTTTAGTCCTCTGACAGTTAACTGAATATCTTTGGGTTGTAGACAAAACAAGACATTTGAGAACATCACCTTGGCAATTTGGAAAACACTGATAAACATTTTTCACTATTTTCTGTAATTTTATGGGCCAAGCAAATAATCGATTAATGAAGAAAACAAATTAATCAATAATGAAAATAACATTAGTTGCAGCCCTAGTTTTGGTGCAAAGACATAAAAAAATCTCATCCATGCCAACTGCGTGGATGAGATTATGAATATCTAGAAAAACACTTAAACACGCTACTACTACATACTGCATGTTAGCAACTTGTCTTTCACATGCCATACGGCTGTAACTGATGAGGCAGTGGCTTCCATAGCTTTTTTCTTAGTTTCCACATGTCTTCTGGACAGGGCCTGGATCACTTGTGCTCCTCTTACACAAACACTCAACCTGCTGGAGGAAGGTTTACGACTATTCTATATTCTCTCCGTCTTTATGATTACCTTAATGTACTCTGAGAGATCCTGAGAGCATTGAAGTGTTTGGATCGTCCTTTGTCCTTATTTTGTAGATTTTCTACGTATTTAACCTTAAAGGGGACATATTATGAAAAACCAACTTTTTAATCATTTGATTATGTACATTTGGGACTCTGGAGGGCCTATCAGCAGCAAAGTGTGAAAAAAAATGACTCAGTCATGTTTTTGTGGGCTGCCTCAGTCAGAATACAGGAGAGAAATCACTCCGTTTCAGACAGTCAGACTTTTTGACGTCATTTCGCCTCCATGTTGCCACCCACCGCAGTTTACTTCCTGTTGACTATCGGAGCTCCGCCATTGTTACTATAAAAGCGCAAGCTAGTGGAGAACAAGCTAGTGGAGAACCAGCAAGCGAGCCCAGCCAGCAGCCTGCCAGGCTAATGTCTGGGCAAAGGCTTCAGCAGACTAACTGTTCAGTCATTGGCTGCACAGCCCAATCTACATATGTGTGAGCCATTGGATTTGTTTTTATTTTTGACGGAAATGTCTGTCGGAAAAGCCGGAACGTGTGTGAACCACTTCCTGTCGGACTGTTTTCACAACCTCGGTCAGTACAACACTGGACTGACTGAAAGACTGTTCCTGAAAGAGGGATTGTACCAACTGTCTGTGGAGAGACAGCAGAGGAAATAACTGTAAGTATTTTTAAGAATTGATGCTGTTTTTCATTGTTCGTGTAATGCTAGCACATAATAACAGTTGTTAGCTACAGGAGCCTCAGTGATGCTAACGTAGTTATTGTTTGTTAAATGTTTGTTAAATGTTTGTTAAATGTTAAAAGATGAAGATGAAACTTATAAGGTGAAGTTAATTTATTAACCAGCTGGTGCAGATGTCTCCATATTCTCCCCTGCTGATATTTTTATAGAGATTCACACAAAGTTTATACTGAGAATCACCAAGCTTCATGCTGGGGGGGGGGGCTCTGTAACTCTGTAACTGTTGAGGGTTTTGTGACCGGGTTAAATTGGCTTTATGTTGGTCTGTATTTAGTTAAAGTGCTCAGTCAGTAATATGTTTGTGTCGCTGTTAGAAAGAGCAGAAAACCTCCGAGTGAACAAACTGTAGCTGCTCATCAGCTGTTAGCTTGTTGAACTGCATGGAACCGGGAATATAATGTCAGTTAGCTTTAATTGTCTTTAACCTGGTAACTTATTATCTGCTGGGTAGCTCAGTATCTGTTCACCGTGTGGATCAATAAAGCAGTGATCAGAAGACACCGTACTTGTACTGTGTATAAATTCAACAGCGGAGGTCATTAGTTTGGTAGCATTGTAGCTTTGATTAGCACACAGCAGCTCTGTGATGTCACTGTGTTACTATAGTTACTGAGTCTGTGGGACTTTATGATGTAATATGAGGGACAGTGTGATCGATAACCCTCGTTAGAAACTACCAAAATACAGGGAGTGAGTTATGGTGATTCTTTTCTGTTTGTGTAACCTGCTAACGTGCTAACCAGCTGGGGCTATCTGCAATGTTTTGTGTGTGTGTGTTACAGTGTGTAAATGAACTTGATCAACGTGCACCGGAGTTAACAATAGAGCTACTGTGAGAGAGAAATAGTCAAACTGCAGGGATTCATTAGTTTAGTAATATTGTGTAACTACGACGCTCACTAGGCTTTATGTGGAGTCAAACACTGCTTTATTATTTTATTTTATAACTTAGGACTACTTTGAGCCACAATGAGCTGTTGTACTTGTATTATATTATACCGTATTATATTGTACTGTATATTATATGCTGCCTTACAAGTAACACTGCATCTGACTTGTTTTACAGGTGACCTGATGAAGCTCAGGTGTTCCTGGACCCATCAGAGGACAGAGACAGCTGCAGCATCAGGACAGTATGAAGGACACGATCTGCACAGTTTACATAAAAGTTCTAGCTTTGTTACTTACAACATGTGTAACTGGAATATAAATTAAACATAAATAAAGTGTTTTACTTTTAAGAAGAGTTTTGGTCATTTTTAAATACAGTAATAAGTGTGGTTTTATATAAATAACATGTTATTTCACAAAGGTTTTATGAAGATTTCCTGGATGTACAAGAGTTGAAAACCTGATTTGTGTAACATCTATGTATGAAAATGTTAAACCTGTATTAATGACTGTAAGCAACACAATACATTACTGTCTCACATTCAAACTGTATTATGTTGGAAGATAAATTACATCATAATATATAATATAAATTATAGAATATCCAGTATATATACAGTATTTTGAATGGGGTTCAAACATAATTGCAGCTTTTACACATATCTGAAGGTTCACTTTGGTAATAATACTTTCAAGTTAAAATATCAGACTATGAAATATGGACACAGTTAACAGTTGGTTACTTAGCAGTTTTTAAACCACATAAACAAGTTACTTTATTAGATGAGTAATTCCTTCAGTTATGTTGACATGTTGTACAGGATAAAGTATTGCAGGCATATAATATGTTTAACTTCACTGTAGGTCACTGCTCACTGCTGTACCTGTAAAGACAAGCATAAAACACAGTGTTGGTTCTCATAGTTAAGGTATAAACACTAACATTATGTGATAGAGGTTTTTATAGCAGTATTTACCTGAGGAAAACGTCACAGAAAGCTGTAATCCTGATTGTTGATGTTGTTCATTTCTCCGTGATTTCAGGTCAGACTCCCGCTCTAACATGTCCGCTGGTGAAGTTTTTGGTTTAGAAGCAGTTATTGAATTAATATTGACGGTAGAAATGCAGCTAAACTCAGTAGCAGTGAGGAGCTAACTGCCGGTGTGTCGGTTTAACTGGTGGTTGAATTAACTGGTGATATTCCCGAGCATTGATGCAGATCTGTACACTAGAAATACTGACTGAATTGACTTCTTTTCATAATTTTAACCCACCAGAATGAAATCCTTAACAATGTCAACACTCCAGTTCTGATGTCTAATAAGATTAACGGAGTTACCTGAAATTTGAATTAATTTTATTTGTGACGGCGATCTCCGGAGGCTTGAAGAGAATGACACAGTAGGTGACTGTGTCGATGCCTGTTCCAAACACTGTAAATGTCTATAAATAATTCAGAAAATGTTTTTGCTGTCGTTTTACGAATCCTTATTAATCTGATGTCCAGTCTATTTGAGAAGAGTTTATACTGTCACACAGTCTGTAAGGAAACATACAGTCTGCAGTATATGTTTAATGCAGTGTGGAGTCAGCTGCGGCAAAGCGTGATACGCCCAGATCAACTGGTGATAGCCTACAACATTTTACCATCGATCATGTCGCGTCTTCACTTTTAATCTCACCAATCACAATGATATTATTTACACAACAGCACACTCTTTCTTGCAAATTAGACAACTGTCAAATCTCATTTTGCAATAGGAACAGAAATTGGATAAAGTTAAAACTTTAATCAGTAGAGGGGCTACACTATACAAATCCTTTTCACATGTCACAACTTTGGGGGATTTTGAATAAATGGGACAGAGATTATAAGATGTGATAGAATTGTGGTATTATATATAGAAACAGTCAGTATATGTTTAATACCATGTTGAAGTAGAGTTGTGGCAAAGCATTATATGACCAGATTAACTTGTGATGCAACGTCTGTCTACCATTGATCACATTTCATATTAAAGTTTATCTAAACTTTTATCTTTTATTTATATTCTATACATGTCAGCAAAGTCTTTCAACCAAATTAGATATTGTAATTAATTTGGCAAATAGGAGCAGAAGTTGGATGCCCAGCTGAACACAACTTATTCAAATCCACAGAGTTGTGACATGTCCAGCAAACATGTTGACTGAATCTTGTAGACTGTTGGGATGAGTGAGCGAAACGTCTAGATTTTAATATTAAACCCGATCGTCAGTAAATACAGATAGTGTAGCATGAATGAATGTGCACTCTGCCACAGCTGACACAGTTCTCTACACTGCTTGGAGCGTAAACTCAGACTGATTAATTTATAGGCTGGATGAATTACACACATTAAAAACAACTATGACACAACACCGATAACATGAGGATTTTGGACGTTTTATTGACGTTATCAGTGTTATCACATACATTGCCATTCCCTATAGTCCTCACTTTATACTCTTACAGATTTGAGAACCTACTGGTTCCAGAGGAATACATAAATATTCATTATAGAGACGTTTTTGTGAAGGTTTTTTTTTTCCACATGAGAAACTACGAACATTGAGCTCATCATTGCAACCAGTCTCACTCAGGATAATATCACCTGTTAATCTAAACTCAAGCTACATTAATGTTGTTTTACAACAGTGCGAGCGTGTGGTTGCCTTTATAAACAATTACATTTTGGTGTGTTTAAATTATTTAAAATAGTTAGTGTTTCTAAGATGTATTGTAAAGCCATTGTATGATTACAATATACAATATCCAAAGAAGTCTTTCTTCGATGTAACGTTATACTCGGGGAGGACTCAGAACTGAAACAACGGTAGCGATCAGCAGCTGTTAATGTCACCATGACAGTGAATAATAGTTCCGTAGTGAGGAGCAGACACCAACATTATTGTTCCAGCACAGAGTTTCTATTGCAGTGTTTTAAAAGTCACCAACAAATGAATGTCATAGAAGTAGTCAGAATCTTTATTTCCTGGTTCGGCAATAAGGGGTCCTAAAAAGCCACGCCTACACACATCTGCCTCAGTATCACCAGTTAATTCAACTCCAGTTAAACCGACACACCGGCAACACTGAGGCAGAAGTGGGAGAGGTCGGAGCGTCATCCGCGTGAACCGCGTCATAATGCCGACCAATCGAGCAGACTGGGCTTTTAGGGAGGGGGGCCTTAAAGAGACGGGAGCTAAAATCGATCGATTCAGACAGAGGCTGAAAAGAGCTGCTCAGCTAAAAATAATGTGTTTTTTGAACATTAAAACATCTAAACCTATTGTAGTAGAGCCACAAAATACAATTATGAACCTGAAAAGAGGCATAATATGTCTCCTTTAAATCACTTGTCTTGCACACAGGTGATCTCTTCATATTTTCCAACTTGTAGAAACACATAAACACTATTTTTTCATGATGATTTTAGTGTGTCATAGTAAAGGGGTGAATACTTATGCAGTCAGTTTTTTAGTGTGCTGTCACCTTCCACCTACTCTATCTATAGTAATATGGGGTGGAACAACTATTTAGTCAGGAATAGTAATAATACAGTTTATATATACTGTATATATCTTTTGCAGTATATTATCAGCCAGGCACCAGTCAAATACTGTTATTGTTTGCCTGACAGGCTGTGGGTTCAATGTGACAAACAGCAACCCAACAGTGTGCATCAATGACCTGATCCAGCAGCACAACATACAGCATAACTGCAGCCTGCAGCCCCTCAGCTGTTGCCAGCTCATCGCTCGGACTGTCACCTGCCTGGAGAGTCTCATCTGCAGCTTCCAACAAGGAGGCCCAGATGCCATCCTGCCCACCTACTACAAGAGATGGCTCCACAGGTAAGCATTAACTTCAATGTAATTCAATAGAGCAGGTCTATACTCATACTCAACTCCATACTCCTTATAAAATTATTTACAGAGATCCAACATTTGCCACCTTGAGCAAGCACTTGGCGACCACAGCAAGAAAAACTTCCTTTTAAGAGGCAGAAACCTCAAGCAGACCCCAGCTCTAGGTGGGTGGCCGCCTGCCTATACCAGTTGGGGTTAGAGAGGAAGAGAGGAGGGTAGGGGGAGTAGAGAGAAAGAGGGGTGAGGGGATGGGAAGAAATAGCAGCATAACGACTCACCTGAGCCAGCCCTAACTATAAGCTTTATCAAAGAGGAATGTCTTAAGCCTACTCTTGAATGTGGTGAGGGTGTCTGCCTCCTGAACCACAAATGGAAGCTGGTTCCACAGGAGAGGAGCTTGGTAACTGAAGGCTCTGGCTCCTGTTCTACTTTTAGAGACTATAGGAACCACAAGTTTAATCAGTCTTGACCTCATTCTATCATATGGCATTGATATTGACCATTTAATAGTCTTCCCACATAATCCTTTTTTATCAGACCATTATTTAATAACCTTTGAATTCCTGTTACTAGACTACAAGCCATTAGGCAAAACGTCCTCCAGCAGATGTCTATCTGATAGTGCTGTAGCTAAATTTAAGGAGGAGATTCTGTATTTAATTCAATGCCACGTCTCAATATAACAGAGGACTCCCTTGTTAACCTTAGTCCCTCCCAAATTGATCATCTTGTCAATAGTGCTGCCGTCTCACTGCGAACAACACTTTACTCTATTGGCCCTCTAAAAAAGGAGATATTAAAACATAGCAGGCTAGCAATGTGGTACAACCACCAAACCCGCCAATTAAAGCAAAAAAGGTGGAAAAGGAAAGAAATCACATTCAATATGGTAAGATAGTCTTTAAACATATAGAAAGGCCCTCTGTAATGCCAGAGCAGCCTATTATTCAACATTAACAGAAGAAAATAAGAACAACCCCAGGTTTCTTTTGAGCACTGCAAGCTGACAGAGTAACAGCTCTATTGAACCATGTATTCATAAAGCCCTCAGTAGCAACGACTTCATGAGCTCCCATTTCTCTCTAAGACAGTTGTGTGACTTTCTACATAGCAACAGCTTATTTGAGGATTTTCAGTCAGGATTTAGAGTACATCATAGCACAGAGACAGCACTGGTGAAAGTTACTAACGACTTTTTAATTGCATCAGACAATGGACTTGTCTCTGTACTTGTCTTGTTATATCTTTGTGACCACTTGTCAGTGGTCATAATGTTATGGCTGATCGGTGTATTTTCTAGCATTGCGAGATAAGACAGATCTAGCAAGCTCTTTGCACAGTAGTTTCTGTTGTGGGAAAATATGAATATTCTTGCCAGTAACAGACAATCACTATTAGTTTTGGTACTGCTTGACAACATTGTGAAGTATCATTACCTGAATCATTTTCTGACACATCAAGGTTGGCAACCCCAGTGTATTAAGGTGCTTTTAAGGCAGTTCTGGCTATTCTGCTTCCTGCCACACAACCCAACCTTAAAACTACAGCCAACACTAATTAAAGTACTGTCTCTCTGGCTGGCTAGCTTAAAGGAAATTGTTTTTTGTTTTGTTTTGTTTTTTTAAAGTTATTTTTTTGGCCTTTTATTGCCTTTATTTGATAGATACAACTGAAGGACTCAGCCTTGGTACATGGGTCGCCAGCTCTACCCACTGAGCTAACCGGGCGCTCAAAGGAAAATGTTTTAATGTGAAAGCTGTCTGTTATAGCTGCCATCAACTTGTGTCAGACATACAAAGCTCATGGTCCCCAAGCTGTGATAGGATAGTTGATTGTTTTTTATTTTGGCATAGACAGTGCCTCACCAGCTCAAAGAAGAAATAGCTCCCTTCCGCTTTCTCAAGAAAACTGATGACAGTGCTTTGCAACTCAAATCAACTTTATTTATATAGCACATTTCATACAAACATACAGCCCATGCAGCTTCATGTAACAAATTGAAATATAACATAAAGTCGAGGCAGACAGCCACCCACCTAGAGCCAGGGTCTGTCCGAGGTTTCTGCCTCTTAAAAGGACCTTTTTCCTTGCCGCTGTCGCCAAGGTCTTGCTCATGGTGGGAACTGTTGGCTCTCTGTAAATAATTTTATAAGGAGGACGGTCTAGACCTGCTCTATTTGAAAAGTGTCCTGAGATAACTTTTGTTATGAATTGGCGCTATAAAAAAAATAAAAATGTAATTGAATTGAAAAATGATATGCAGTACACCACCACTTCTGTTGTGGATTCAGTGTGGTCTGGAAATTTTGTGAAAATGTCAAAATAAAAAACGCTGAGACACTAGGTCCCCTGGCCTTCCCATTTCGTTGTGTAGCGGGACAGTAGTAGGACCTAATGGGGGGGCTGTGGCTCAGAGGCAAAGCGGGTCATCCACTAATAGGAAGGTTGTTGGTGCGATCCCCGGCTCCTCCCACCATGTGCCGAAGCATCCTTGAGCAAGATACTGAACCTCGAATTGCTCCCGATGCTGTAAATCTGTGTGTGTGTGTGAATGTGTATGAATGAGTTAGTTTCTGTTCAATGGGTTTTGCCATCACTGTGTGAAAGGGCGAATGTGGCATGTAGTGTAAACTAGTGGAGTAGAGTGGTCGGAAGACTAGAAAGGCTCTATACAAGTACAGGTCCATTTACCATTTATCATTTACAGGATTGAAAAAAGAAAAAGAGAAAAATTTAGACTGTCACACCTGAGAGTGCTCGTTAATTTTAAGGGCAAACCTGAAGAAACAGCAGGTTGCTGTTCGCTTCTAAAAAAAAAAGTGGTTAATTCTTTAATTTTTAACTGCGTAGTTTTGTTTACTGAATACCTGCTCTTAAACATGCTTTTAATTTAATTATGATACAGTAGATGCATATAATAATGTACTGTATTTCACTTTATTTCTTCAATTGATTTGTTTGTATTTAGGCATTTCAAATCCTCCGTATGAATCTGGCCTGTTAAGAGATTAGTGCAGGAGTTGGTGGGTTGCCTCAGTCTTTAAGGCTCTCACTCTTGGTCTAAGCTGTGTAGCAAACACCCCTTTCAGCTGCAGAGTTTGTTGTTCCTGAACCCCATACTAACATCCTGAAGCAGAACTGTAACAGTAGCTCTCTGTGCTCTGCTCTTAGCGGGACTCTGGTGCGTCTCTGGAGCGAGGATGGGCTGGAGGCTGAGGTGGTGGGTCTGGACCACAACGGCTTCCTCCAAGTGCACAGCAAGGAGCAGGGCGTGGTCTCAGTGGAGCCTGATGGAAACTCTTTCGACATGTTGAAGAACCTGGTGGTCATCAAGCAGCGTTAGGACCAAACCCAACAAAACACAGACTCAGCGTCTCTTTCAGCACATTGAACCAGTAACTGAGTTATTAGAAAACTATATCAATGTGTCAGGGTTTTCTAATTGATTCATATGTCACTGGTTTACAGTGGGATAATTGGTTAGCTTCTTCTTATGTGAAGCTGACATACATTTGAAATAGGTGTGGTCATTTGTTGGAAGACACACAATGATGATAACTGGGTTTAAAGGCAGCTACATTAAGTTATATCTGCATCAGTGACTAGCACATACTGTACATCAGCTTGATCATTACCTGCTGGTTTTGGACCACCTATTCAAACCATTATTTAACTTGTACTACTTTCTGGGCACAATATATCTCATACTCCTCATTTGAAAATCTAACCTAATTCCAGTGTCACATGTAAACGGTGACCATTGCAGCTTTTTCTGTTGCTAATTTCAGCTAAATAAATACTTCCACAGAAAATATGTTGTTCATTTCTTTAAATTAACCAGCATTTGTTTACTTACACTGATCAGCCAAAACATTATGCAGCCCCATATGCAACTAACTGCACTGTGTGTTCTTACACCTTTCTATCAGAACCAGCATTACATTTTTGAGCTTTTTCAACTTTTTCGGACATGGTTTCACTGTAAGGATAAACTGTTGTCAGTCTGAATGACAAAAATAAGAAAAACTTTGAGGCAGACATTTTTTGCATTTTGATAATGTGCATGATTATGTTACCTAACAGTTTTTATAGTTGTGGCAGAGCTGGTGAACAAATAATCATCTTTTTAAAATATTCAGCTAGCTATAAAGCTAGTAACCAGCTAACATTTGATAGCTGATGCTGAGCTTTTGCTAACATTCCAGGTTACTCACCCATCTGGTGAACTTCCTTTATGTATTGAATATCTACACACCATCTACTGTACATAGCAAGGTATCAATATAGTTTTAAATTATTTTTTTTTAAATTTAAATATTTCGCCAATGTATTTAATTTGAACCCCTGTGTTGTGATATATATCATATCACCAGATTCTTGCAAATACACAGCCCTATGTCCTACCTGTACAAGTGCCTGATGGGATAATGGTTTAAAAAGAAGGGGTTTCCAAAAACCAAAAATACTAAAGAGATGTACAATGCCTATAAAAAAGTATTCACCCCCCCTTGGATTTTTCACCCTTTTGTTTCTTTATACATGAAATCATGGTCAATATATTTTTTGACAAGATATCAAACTGAAAACAGATTTTTACAAACTAATGTCAATTAATTAGAAATATATAAGGTAAAGAAGATGATTCCAGAAATATTCACCCCCTTTAAAGTGACTGACCTAATTCAACAGAAGTCCAGCTAGTTGATGCCAGCAGTGTCACAATAAGTGAAATGGAGATCACCTGAGTTCAGCTGATGTGTGTCAAGTGATTGTAGTATAAAAAACACCTGTGTCCAGTCTCTGGTTCATCAGTTTTCCTACTACAATTGCAACATGAAGAAAAAACAAACACTCCAAGCAACTCAGAGAAAAGATCCTTGAAAAGTACAAGTCAGGAGATGGCTACAAAAAGATTTCCAACTCACTGGACATCCCATGGAGTTCAGTTAAATCCATCCATCAGAAAAGGATGGAGTATGGCACTTGTTTAAATCTGCCTAGAGCTGGCCATCCTCAAAAACTGAGTGACCGGGCAAGAAGAAGACTGGTGAGGGAGGCCACCAAGACACCTACGACCACTTTGAAGGAGTTAAAAGCTTCAGTGGCCCAGATGGGAGAGACTGTACATACAACAACTGTTTCCCGGGTTCTTCACCAGTCAAAGCTGTATGGGAGAGTGGCAAAGAGAAAGCCACTCTTGAAAAATGATCATATGAAATCTCGCCTGGGATTCGCCCAAAGGCATGTGCTGGAGTCCAAGGTCAATTGGAAGAAGGTTCTTTGGTTTGATGAGGCAAAAATTGAGCTTTTTGTCCATCAGACTAGACACTATGTTTGGCAAACACCAAACACTGCACATTGCCACAAATACACCATCTCCACCGTGAAGCATGGTGGTGGCAGCATCATGCTCTGGGGATGCTTCGCAGCAGCAGACCCTGGAAGGCTTGTAAAGGTAGAGGGGAACACGAATGCCGAAAAATATCGCCAAATCCTGGAGGATAATCTGACTCAGTCTGCAAGAGAACTACAACTTGGGAGAAGATTTATTTTCCTGCAAGACAACAACCCCAAGCATATAGCAAAAGGTGAATGTTTTGGAGTGGCCAAATCAAAGCCCAGATCTCAATCCAATCGAGAATTTGTGTCTGGACTTGAAAAGAGCTGTTCACGCCCGATCCCTGAGGAACCTGACAGAGCTTGAGCTGTTTTGCAAGGAAGAATGGAGAAAAATAGCAGTGTCCAGATGTGCCAGCCTGATTGAAACATATCCACCCAGACTCAGTGCTGTAATTGCAGCCAGAGGTGCATCTACTAAATACTGACCTGAAGGGGGTGAATATTTATGCAATCATCTTCTGTACCTTATATATTTTTAATTAATTGACATTAGTTTGTAAAAATCCGTCTTTGATATTAAAGAGGGGTTTTTTTCAAATTTTCCAAAAAGCCAAATTATATTGACCATGATTTCATGTATAAAAGAAACAAAAGGGTGAAACATCCCAGGGGGTGAATACTTTTTATAGGCATTGTATTGGTTGCCTTATGTATCTTTTTGTATGAATGTACATCGTCACCCCTGGATGGTGTTACTGTAATGCAACAAATATTATATTGGGTGCCTGTGGCAGGTGGAACGGGGCATCTACTAATCGCAGGGTTGGTGGTTCGAGCCTGCCTCTTCCTGTCGATGAGTCCCAAAGTGTCATTTCCCCAAGCAGTCACTCCAATAAAGTTACAGCTAATTAATTTAATATTCAATTATCAACAAACTTTCCAACTGGTAAATACATACACCAAGTATGTAGTTTTGCCACTGAACCAGTACCGCACCACAGAGATAGTTAGCCTCCGGTAGATCCCCCGGTAGTTCCCGAGCAGCCGGGAAGACAGGGAGAGTGGGTGAATGTTCGGAGGAAGCATAAAACGCCGAAGCCCACAGTTCACCACCAGCCGATTCACGTTTCCAATAAATTTTCCCCACTCAGCGACACACCCGCTGAGGAACCAACTCTGGTTATTGGCAGCTCCATAGTCAGAAACGTGAAGTTAGCGAAGCCAGCGGCCATAGTTAAATGTATCCCTGGGGCCAGAGCGGGCGACATTGAATCAAATTTAAAACTGCTGGCTAAAGGTAAACGTAAATATAGCAAGATTGTTATCCACGTTGGCAGTAATGACACCCGTTTACGCCAATCGGCGGTCACTAAAATTAATGTGGAGTCGGTGTGTAATTATGCTAAAACTATGTCGGACTCCGTAGTTTTCTCTGGACCCCTGCCCAATGTGACCAGTGATGACATGTATAGCCGCATGTCGTCATTCCACCGCTGGCTGTCGAGGTGGTGTCCAGAAAACGATGTGGGCTTCATTGATAACTGGAAGCCTTTTTGGGGAAAACCTGGTCTGATTAGGAGAGACGACATCCATCCCACTTTGGATGGAGCGGCTCTCTTATCTAGAAATATGGCGAAGTTTATTTCTAAAACCTGACAGTCCAGAGTTGGGACCAGGAAGCAGAGCTGCTGTCTTACACACTTCTCTGCACTTTCTTTAGAACAGTCACCCACCAAAACCCCATAGAGACTGTCTGTCCCCCGACCACCTCAATTATTTAAAGAAATAAGAATAAGAGGAGTTAAACATAAAAATCTAATAAAAATTAAAACTAACTCCTCAGTAGCACAAAATAAGAGAATGAAATGTGGGCTGTTAAATATCAGGTCTCTGTCCTCTAAAGCTGTTTTAGTGAATGAATTAATATCAGATTATGATATTGATTTACTTTGTCTTACTGAGACCTGGTTGTCCCACGAGGAGTATGTTAGCCTAAATGAATCCACTCCAATTATTAAAACATAGGAAACTAGCACCATGGTATAACCACCAAACCCGCCAGTTAAAACAAATAGCCAGGAAATCTGAAAGGAAATGGTGCTCTTCCAAATTATCAGAATATCGCTCAATTTGGCAAGATAATCTTAAAACCTATAGAAAGGCCCTCCGTAACGCCAGAGGAGCCTATTTTTCAGCACTAATAGAAGAAAATAAGAATAACCCTAGGTTCCTCTTCAGCACTGTAGCCAGGCTGACAGTGAGCCACAGCTCTATTGAGCCACATATCCCCATAAACTTAAGTAGCAACGACTTTGAGCTTCTTTTATAATAAAATTATTACTATTAGAGAGAAAATTAATCAACAACTGCCATCAGTAGTTATCAGTGGCTCTCCAAGTTCAGGAACTTTAACTAATGTAAACCCATATATATTCAGGCTGTTTTTCTGCTATCGATCTTCACCAGTTAACTTAAATAATTTCTACATCGAAGCCATCAACCTGTCTGTTGGACCCGATCCCAACTAGGCTGCTTAAAGAAGTCGTACCCTTAATTGGCACTTCTTTACTGGATATGATTAATCTTTCTGTATTATAAGGATATGTACCACAGTCCTTTAAAGTAGCTGTAATTAAACCCCTTCTTAAAAAGCCCACTCTTGACCCAGGGGTTTTAGCCAACTATAGACCGATCTCTAACCTCCCCTTCCTCTCTAAGATTCTGGAGAAAGTAGTCGCCAAAGAGTTGTGTGACTTTTTACATAACAATAGTTTATTTGAGGATTTGCAGTCAGGGTTTAGAGTTCATCACAGCACAGAGACAGCTCTGGTTAAAGTCAATTATGACCTTTTGATTGCTTCAGACAATGGACTTGTCTCTGTACTTGTATTATTAGATCTTAGTGCCGCATTTGACACCATTGACCATAATATTCTTTTACAGAGACTTGAGCATCAAATTGGCATTAAAGGAACTGCACTAAGCTGGTTTAAGTCATATTTATCAGATCGTTCGCAGTTTGTACATGTTAACGATGAATCTTCAATAAATACTACAGTTAGTCATGGAGTTCCACAAGGTTCTGTACTTGGACCAATAATATTTACTTTATATATGCTCCCGTTAGGCAACATTATTAGGAATCACTCCATTAACTTTCACTGTTATGCAGATGATACGCAGTCATATCTATCAATCAAGCCCGATGAAATTAATCAATTATCTAAATTACAAACATGTCTTAAGGACATAAAATCCTGGATGAGCTGCAATTTTCTGATGTTAAACTCAGAAAAAAACGAAATTCTTGTTCTTGGCCCCAAAAATCTTAGAGACTCACTGTCTAAAGATATAGTTACTCTAGATGGCATTACCTTGGCCTCTAGCACCACCGTCAGGAATCTTGGAGTTATCTTTGATCAGGATTGTCATTTAATTCCCACATAAAGCAGACCTCTAGGACTGCCTTCTTTCATTTACGTAATATTACAAAAATTAGACACATCCTCTCACAGACAGATGCAAAAAAACTAATCCATGCATTTGTTACTTCTAGGCTGGATTACTGCAACTCTTTATTATCAGGTTGCCCCATTAAGTCCATTAAAACGCTCCAATTAATTCAAAACGCTGCAGCACGAGTACTGACAGGAACTAGAAAAAGAGATCACATCTCTCCTGTACTAGCTTCTCTGCACTGGCTCCCTGTAAAATTTAGAATAGAATTTAAAATTCTCCTCCTCACCTATAAAGCTCTTCATGGTCAGGCCCCTTCATATCTTGAAGAGCTCATAGTACCCTATTACCCCACTAGAACACTACGTTCTCTGAATACAGGGCTACTTGTGGTTCCTATAGTCTCTAAAAGTAGAACAGGAGACAGAACCTTCAGTTACCAAGCTACTCTCCTGTGGAACCAGCTTCCAGTTGTGGTTCGGGAGGCAGACACCCTCACCACATTCAAGAGTAGGCTTAAGACATTCCTCTTTGATAAAGCTTATAGTTAGGGCTGGATCAGGTGAGTCCTGAACCATCCTTAGGATTATTTGTCTGAGGTCCATCACACAGCTTCTTGATGACACTTCATTTGTCTTCAGTACCTTGGCCCTCTGGCTCATCCTCCCCAGATGAAGTGAAAATGTCAAAGGAAACGTGCAAACTGCTGGAACTGGATACAGCCATGTGCTTCATTACAACATCAGTCCTCCTCCTCTGCCTATGCCCAAGACATCACACACCAATATGGAAGTCATCACAGTAATAGTATGTACTAGTATTACTAGTGTGGTATGAATGAACCATACCTACATCTGTTTTCACTGTGTCTGGATTAGTTTTTTGGCTTAAATTATAATAACATCACAGTGAATGAGCTAACATACTGTAAAAGGCCATGTATGAATCTAGTTTTAAAGATAATACAGATATTTATTACAGTTGGTTTGTTGCATTAATTTTAATTTCTGTCTTGAAGTCATGGTTCCCTACTACATTACAGCAACAGGGGGTCGCACACTACTTCTGATAAGATCTTTCTTTTTTTCTTTTTTGTATATATATATATATATATATATATATATACACTGAACAAAATTATAAACGCAACACTTTTGTTCTTGCCCCCATTCATCATGAGCTGAACTCAAAGATCTAAGACTTTCTATGTACACAAAAGGTCTATTTCTCTCAAATATTGTTCACAAATCTGTCAAAATCTGTGTTAGTGAGCACTTCTCCTTTGCTGAGATAATCCATCCACCTCAGAGATGTGGCATAGGCTGGCCACAATAAAAGGCCACTCGAAATAAATAAGTTGTCATTGTCATTTACAATGACGACCTAGGCAAGAGGCAGCAACAGGAGATGAGTCGATACAACAATAAAAAAATATACAGCTAGTGCAAAAAATATATATAATAGTATAGTTAAATCTGCACAATAAAAACAGTATGTACACAACAGTAATCAAGTATTGTGTTTAAAAGCAGGTGCAGTGATCACAAACTATTACCTGTTTGTAAAGTTAGTAAAGGAGGGTAACGAAATCAAGGTGTGTGGTTTTAGTTTCTTTTGTAACTCATTCCAGTCACTGGGAGTGGCAAACTGAAGTGAGTGATGGGCTGAGAAGCTCACTGTGGGGACAATGTTAATGCTGAAAGTCTGAATGTCATTTTATGTTTAAGATATTTTAATATTTTCATTTTATTGTTACATTTACAGATCCATTCTCCAATACAATCTATCTTACAGAGACTATTTTCCCCTTGTCAACCTCTCCATTGGGGTAACACATCTTGTTGAGGGTCTAGACTTGTCGACAGTATCAACAGCAGCTACAGGCAGTGGCTCCAAGTCTCGGTTTCCCCCCTCAGCGTGCACAGTCTACCCCCAGGCCAAATGACTCTATTCTCCCACTGCTTACATTCCCCTGACATGCACCAAGCCAGCTGGTCCTATACTTGTTTATTAAGGTTTCTCCTTAATGTGGCAGGTGCAGGCTGGAATATGGGATTCATATGGTGCAAATAATGCAAACTTGCAAAATACAGTAATTTGCTGTTACTGACATAGATTTAGGTCACGTGCATGGACACATAGTGCATTTAGTTTTTGTCCCTCAAACCTTTTTTTATTGACTTTTTTTTAAGAATGCGCACACTAGTTGTGGGTGTGTGTGACATGGGTGTGTTGTTTTTGTCATCGTCTAAGACTTGTTGTAGCTCAGCATTCAAATGGATTCGGTAGACGGAAAACCAGATGTCATGTGAATGAGAGCAGGATGGTTGTTTGGGTTTTGGGAGGCAGACACCCTCTCCACATTTAAGAGTAGGTTTGAGCTATTAATAAGAAATTACATAAAATAATATACACAAAATAATTTAATCTTATATAGTCATTAAATGTATTTTATTTGTTACGTGAGAAAACACAATTGTTTTTGTATGAGTGATTGTGATTGTGTGAGTACTAAGTACCTTAACATGTATCATGATAATTATAACATCTTGTCTGTTGTACTCAACTGGTTTGAGAAAGAAAGGTAATGTTTATTGAAAGTATCCTTCAGTTATGGATAGGTGAACATAGATGAAGAAGAAAGATGTTATACTTGATGAATGTTCTACAAAGCAACGAGTGTTGCTAGTTTATTTACTTTTTACCTATCAAGTACCTATTAACAACACTAACATTATCTCCTCTGTCTTAGGCCTAGGATATTGGCAGAGGTGAGCAATGAAGGATATGCCCCAAGAGGAAAAGGTTAAAGGAATAAAATGTACCTCTTAACCTCATTTATTTGTGTTGTTTTTGGCTGACACTTTGGTATAAAGGATATTGATGTGGTACTCTCATATAACAAGGGATTTGGCAACATCTATTACATCCTCCTTATAATGTAGGATGTTTTTATTTAAATGTAGTTAGATTAGCTAGATGAGAGGATCTGTATAGTAGCTACTGTCAGCAGCTGGTTAGCTTAGCTGGAGACGTGAAACAGAGAACGTGCTAAAGGAAAATCGCAGTTTATTAAAACTTTGTTTTATTGTCATAGCTCTTGGTTATATCAGTTATAACACTGTACTCACTAATTTATTGTATAGATCTGGGAATAAGAAAAAGCTAGAAAAATTAAGCCTAACAGATAAAGAAACACCAGTAGCCAGATCAGACAAGTTAGAAAGTTTGTTCAGAATATCCAGGCTCGAACCTGCCAGGAGGGGCTCTCAAATGACTAATACCCCACCTATTATTATTATTATTATTATTATTATAAAATATAATTTATAATAATATATAACATATCTTATCTTATTTGCCATGCCCATATTTCTAATTGCTTACCAGTCAAAACAAGGAAATAGACCTGATGAGCAGATCTCACTCCCAGACACAAACACACACAAACAGAAACAAGGTTGTTAGGAACCCCTGATCCAAACCACTTTATTTGGAAGTCAAACTAAAGGGGGTAAATACAGTAAATACAGTTTGTACATGTTGAAGCAGGCAGTGTTCAAAGAACATGGTGAGTGCAGTATCACCATAACCAAAAGAACCCATGGCTATATTACCCAAGTTGAATAAACCATAGTTTTCCTTTTCTTTATTTTATTGTCAACAGAAAGTTTCCATGATACCAATTCCAATATCCATATTCCAATTCAATCAGAGTTGAGCCTCTATGGGCTGTTAGCTTATATTATGCTAAAATTTCCCACGGTTGCCCACTCTATTGCTCCATATTTTGAGCCTGTTAAATGATTCAAGTTATGCAATAAATATATAATACTGAATAAATAGTTCATTTAAAGAAAAAAAAATCCTGTTTGAAGGCACTTTTTGCCTGTTAAATCAAATACAAAAGACTTGACCCTCTGTTATACCAGAGCGTTATGTCCACTCATAGACAGTTATACTGCACTCAGTCTGGTAAAGGAGCTACAAATCTGTTGCTGTTTGTTTGCCAAAAGTTATATGGCTATTTAATTTTCAAAAACTCATCAAAAGTAGATCATGGTTTTGGGTGGGTTTATTGATGTTTGCTTGCCATCACTATTTAACATTCTTTTTCAAACCTTATTTGAACCTTACAACACTGCCGATACTCACATACCATGAATGACATGTTTTCCAAATGATGCCTGTTTTTTGACCCAATACAGGCTGCCTGAGATCCTCCCAAACTTTTATAAATATAAACACTCAGATCTTTACTACCAAGTTAGACATGGTATTTCCATGTAAGAAAATTAATACAAATGCTACAGTGTTTTCTCTGAGTACAAAAATGAGCTCAAAATCATAGATAATGATCAGGCCCTAAGTTTGGGTTGAATATTAATACAATTGCTGGGAAAGCTGTATTGCATATATAATCTTTAGAACATGTATCAGGTTGATCTTTGATATGACAGACAACATGGCTATCCTGCAGGAGTAAAATACAAAATGAGAGAGAGAAGAGAAATGACTGGCTGGAGTCTTTGAAAGAGTCAGAGTCAGAGTCTTCTGAGCTTCTGCCCTGGGTCACCTCTCATTTGTGATAATGACGGATGTGCCAATGTAATGTGGGATCTCTCTTTGGCTGTCAGGGGACGAGCTGGAGCTGGGGCTGTTGCAGCTGTAAGAGACTGTCTCTTTACCATGGTAACTGTAGCCGTCGGTAAGATGGCTCAGTGCGGTAAAAGGGTGGGCTTTAATGGAATTGTGTTTGCTCAAAACTTCATGAAAGTTCAAAGACATGTGTTGAGCTTGGGCTGGAAGTCCCACCCCGACCCCCATACCTGTCAACATTCTCCTGTCCTCAGCAGACCTGGGCTGCACCTCCGTGGCAGCTTCACGCTGCTGGTGGCCATCAGAAGGCTGTGGATATTCTACAGCGGGGTGGCTGTAGGGAGCCTCCATCATACACAGCCTCCTCCTCTGCCCTAGGGCCATTTGCACAGGGAGAGGCTGGCCCATGCTGTGCAGCAGGTCACCCTGCTCACCTTTTCCTAGAACAAGGCCACTGAGCAAAGGGCAGGCCTGGGCCCGATCACCCTGAAGTCTCTCAGCACCTTTTGTATTACGCTGGACATCCTGGCTTAAAGGTTCACTGTCCTTGGTGGCATGAGCATGGGGATGTGGACACACCTCAGGCACGCTGTGTACAAGCGTGTAAGGTTCGTAGGGTTCTTCCTTCAGCCTGCCAGTAGAATGGTTTGTGCTGCTGGAACAGTGATGGGAGATCTTATCGGGGTACCTACGGTCAGCTGTCAGCATGGGGCCTGATGAGGAAAACAATATTCAGGAGCTGAAATTATACCAGAACTTCAGCGGAAAGAGAAAGGCAGTATGATTAGGGTATTTTAACTAAAATGTTAGTCCATCAGTGTGTTACAGGTCCAGTACGTAGGATTTAGTGGCATTTAGCAGTGTAGTTGCAGATTGCAACTCTCTCGCTTCAGAGTGCACCATATTCATTTTATTGATATTTTCTATTTGCACTCACATTTCCTACTTCGTACTACAACTGCAGCACAATAATTTCCCTCAGGATGAATAAAGTTCTTATCTGATGTCAGCTTATTATTTACTGAAGGACAATTCACAATTTTTGAGGGGTAACAGTTCACACTACTGAGATTAGATTAGTCGGTCAAGTTAGTTCTAGTAGGATCAAGATCTCTTTTGCACAAGAGACCTGACAATACATACAAACAAGATCACAGGATAATTCACCACACATGCAATTAAATGTTAAATAAACTAGAATGTCTACTGATAGCATACAAGATTGTATCATCAGCATAGTAGTGAATATGGTGTCCTCTGGTTTGAAAGCATAAAAAACAACACTCTGGACTGTTTATGTCACAAATCTCAATTCAATTCAATTCAATTTTATTTGCATAGCGCCAAATCATAACAGAAGTTATCTCAGGACACTTTTCAAAATAGAGCAGGTCTAGATAGTACTCCTTATAAAATTAATTACAGAGACCCAACAGGCCCCACCATGAGCAAGCACTTGGCGACGGCGGCAAGGAAAAACTTCCTTTTAAGAGGCAGAAACCTCGGATAGACCCCGGCTCTAGGTGAGGGGCCGTCTGCCTCGACCAGTTGAGGTGAGAGAGAGAGAGAGAGAGAGAGAGAGAGAGAGAGAGAGAGAGAGAGAGAATTTGTCCAGCAGGTTTAATGAGGTTTAATCATGGTAACTTTGTCAGATAAAGACTGTACCTGTGTATTTCTTGGGTACTGGGGGGCTGCTGATGTTCCATCCAACAGACCCTCTGCTTTGCAGGGAACCGATGATCTGTTGAGCCAGCTGAGAAGAGGGACCTGAGCTTGGCAGGTGAGTCTGAGCATCCAGATGCTGGTGTTTGTAGGGGTAGTGGAGGGTCAGATTGTAAGTGGGGCTGCAGGACGCCTGACCTGCTTCAGGGCTCAAGCTGGAGTTCTTCTCCCTGCAGGGGGTCACTGGGTACGGGGACCTCTCCTTCCATAGCCCCTTCTGTGGGGAGCAGCTCAAATGGTCTGGCTGGAAGAGGCGAGTGGCCTGCTGTTAGCCATAAATAAGCATAAAGAAGGTTACTGAAATGCAAGTATGTAGTTTTGCAATAGACACTCATAAAGGAATGTTATATTATATGTCTTTCACACTGGATCCCTATTTAGCTGAACATATAGTCTGGCTAATAAAGGACTGACATTCTGAGATAAATTTGGTTTCCTCAAATAAAAGTTGGATCTCAAATAATGGTGGTGGTCGCAATGAACAAATAAAGGCTATTCCCAAATACAGGCTGGGGAACAAAACAGGGTGGATAAACTCCCGGTGCATGTTATGTATGTCTATGCCAACTAAGCCTAAATAGCCTAATTCCATTCCATAAATGAAATTAATAAATTCAACAACAAAATTATGCTATTTTCAACACTTAGCATCTTACTCATCTCTTACTGTAGACACACAGTGAACCCACTCCCTTTGTAGCAGGGGCGTGTGTTTTTAACAGGGCTGTGGCTCAGAGGCAGAGCGGGTCGTCCACTAATTGGAAGGTTGTTGGTTCGATCCCCAGCTCCTCCCTCCACATGTCGAAGCATCCTTGAGCAAGATACTGAACCCCAAATTGCTCCCGATGCTGTGCATCACTGAGTGAATGTGTGTGAAAGGGTAAATGTGGCACGTAGTGTAAAAGCGCTTTGAGTGGTCGGAAGACTAGAAAGGTTTATTATATTTCACCAAAAATCCATCTTTGTCGATATTTTATTATTTTTTCTGTATAAACCTGTTTTTGTGTGTATTTATTTTGGGGAGCTTTTATTTTGTCAATTGTATTTTGGCAGTGTGACCGTTGACCTGTTAGTGATGTCACTTAGGTAAGACTCTGGTAAGACGACCTGAGCACTCTGGTTCAAAGTGACTTAAAACATGTTAAAAACGCTAAATAGAGGTTTTAACTCTACTTTATAACAGTTGCTGGCTTTGATTTTTATTTAAATGTGTACATAAAGTTTTATCATGTACAGCACTTTTTGTGTGAGATATTAGCTCACCTGCCTCAGCTTAATGAAGAGCACACAGACAGTTTCTCATGTGCCGACTCTTTTCTCCCTCTCATTTAAAGGTGTGCGTGTGGGAACCAAGTTGCTATACTAATCTTATGTGTGTTGTACACAGGTATGTGAGTACTCCCCTTGTTTTTTTGTGATGAAAATGTTATTTTTATACATGTAGTTTTTTATGTTTGTTCATGTTTACATTTTACATTTATTAATGAAACCTAAAAATTGCTGTTGGTATGTAGGGAAATGTTTTTGATTTTACATTGAAATTTTGACAATACGATCACATTGAAATTAATTTTGGTTTATTATTTTAATAAGAACACTGCACATGTTATTGAGTAACGGTACGCTATGCTGAGGAGAGGTGTGCGTGTGGGAACCAAGTTGCTGTACTTATTTTATGTGTATTGTACACAGAGAATAAATTCACTGTCCAACTGGCAAAGCAGCAGATGTCTGTCGTCCGTTTCTACACAAAGCCGAACACAACGGAGAGTCAAATTAAAGGAGTGTCAGGCCACGCTGGCTACAGGTCCATTTACCATTTACCAACTTATGCAGAGGTGGCATGAAGTATGAGTGTCAGCTTTCCCGTCATACCCAAAGAATGCAATTCCTATACTGTTCATGGACCCCAGTATGCAGAAATATTCAGAATCAGAATCAGAAATATTTTATTGATTTCATAATATATCATTATCAGATATCATTTTATCTCCAGGGGGAAATTTGTTAATATTCAGTATTCAATATGCACCTGAAAAAAAACAACAAACATTTATACGACATGCAAAAAACTGCATGGGATTAGCATGAAGTGGACATGTCTGCAAAGGGGATACTCGTGAGTACACAGAGAACCTATTTTTATTCAGATATCTTGAAGTGATCAAGGGATTCCTTTGAAAATAGCCATGTTTTTCCGTCTGCAAAAACTTTGGAGCGTTATTTAGCCACCTTCTTGACATGCTAACATGACACGTTGGTTTAATAACTGTGTGAAAACATTCACCTTCTGTTTACTCATCAGTAAGCCAACTGGAAGTCCCACCTCAGGATAGGGAGCGGCTCTGAGTTTGGTTTTCATCTTGACAGCTTTGTTTCTGAGTTGTTTGTGGTGGTCCTGAGAGGAAGTAAGGCTAAGACCAGGCTTAGTGGCTCGACTCTGGTCCTCAGATAATTGCAGCTCCTTGCACTCGATGTCACTGTATACAAACAGACAGGCATACACTGTGTATCTTTGCATTGGTTTAACTGGAGGTTTTACATTCAAAATGACAGGGGGAGGGGCAGACTCACGTGAGGACGTAGTTCACGCTGACAATACAGTGAGGTCTGGAGGAACGGCTGTTGTGGACGATGGTGGCATAGCTCTGCACCCACACCCAACCTCCATGCTTTGATAACATGCGGTAGTACTTAGTGGTGACCTGCCCCTTCACCAGTACTACAGGGAAGAAAAAGATTAGGGTCAAAGTGGAAAAATTGTTAAATATGACATCAGCCCCTTGGAATCACACAGGGCCCACTATTATGCATCAGTACAAAACATACATTACATACATTAAACATACATTAAAGGGGAACTTGGCAACTCTAGCCATTTCTTCGCTGGTTTTCACTTTTGTCGTCGCATGTTTTCTCAACGAGCTCCCCCTACAGCTCTGGGAGGTATATTTCAAAACACTGTCATAAAAAAGCTGGGCACCCTCCTCCCCCTTTCTACCACTGCTGATGTGCATTTGTTGCCGGGCAACTTTTTCGTGTGGAGCAATGTCTACCGAGGTGGGTAATACATTCATTGTCGCTTGTTCTTACAGCCTGCGTGGCTAACCAGTATTGAGGGGGGCGTGTGCGTTTATGTGAAATTGCCGTAAAGCAGTTCGTGTTTCTCGCTCGTTCTCGCCTCTCACGATACTTCCTAATTCCAACTTAACGGGACGGAAGTCCCAAAGTTGCAAGGTTGGTTTTCCGCCTGGGGACGCTAGGGGGAGCGGGGAAAGTCACCATTTTCACCAGAACAGGCCATTTAACCATCCAAATGATTTCTAAACAGGTTTATTAAGTTGAAATAGTAGCCAAGTTCCCCTTCAAACATACATTAAACTAAAATTAAAAACCCTAACCTTAAGTATAAAAAATATATAATATAAAAATATATATATATATATATATATATATATATATATATATATACATATATATATTAACAGTAGCTACAGTAAACAGTGCAAATGGAGTGGAGTGCAAATGGAAGTAAAACAGTGCAAATGGAGGTAGAAATTGTCCATTGTCTATTATCTATTGTCCTCCCTGCCTTTACTGAGAGCTGTTGTACAGTCTGATGGCCAGCGGGACGAAAGAGTTTTTGAGTCTGTTGGTGGAACTGGACTGGGACAGCAGTCTGCCACTGAACTTATACTCAGCAGCATACGCACAAAAGCTTTGGGCTGCCGAAAGGAGGAGGTTTTCAGGCTCAGAGTGGGGGGACCAAGCTGAGAGAGGCACTAGAATGGGCACTAGAACCAGATGCAGGAAATGAAACTGGGTTCAGCTGCCTCCCAATGGACACGGCTGGACTGGAACCAAACACAGATTGGTCTGGCGCTCTTTGCTTACGGGCGAGAACACAGCGTCAGCGTCAGGACTATATCCTCTCCTGATAACCGCTAATCCCAGTGAACACACTGGACTTTGAGCGTGATTTACAGTGGCTCCAACCAGGATGACACCGGGGACGACAAAGACACAGGAGAGGCATCAAGCAGTAGAGAAGTGAGAGGGATTTCGGGCATCAGAGAGGCACTTTTTTCCTTTGTTTTCACATCTTACTATGAAGTTTTATTTTGACCAAACCGGAGTTGGTGATTGTTGTTTTAAACAAAAATTCGTACATGTTGCATCTTTAAACCTGCAATAACAAATTTATTTATCCACTTGAGGGCAGCGATGAGTAGAAAGCAACACATACACCACTTGCTTGGTGCAGAGAATAAAAACCCCTTTAAAAAAAACCCTTCCAGGGCAAAAAGTTAACTCCGGGAGTTGACAGAACATTAACATATAATCCTTTTAAGTGAACTTGGCAGTTGCTTACTTACACATCAAGTAGTTACAGAGCAGCATTATCATTTATAAATCATGTTTCTGGTCAGCTGGCTGGTACAATATTCAATCTACGGCTTAGAAACATATCTGGCTCTTTAGCAGCTAGATGCTCCATTATACACCAGCTAGCCTCCAACTGTGTCTGTCCACAGTTTGGTGCTGGGCAGGGGGTGTACAGTGGGTTTTTACAGCTTTTTATCTGGTAATAGCTGCCTGCTGCAGCAGAAAACAATACAATGAGAGTGGTGAGAGTGAACCAAAACAGTAAAGTTGCAGCCAGATAGATAAACAATAAGCTGAAACTCTCTCTGTATATTTTTTCCTCCATCAACCATTTCTGCCAGTTCAATAACATTTCCAGTCATTCCCTTTGTCAGTGCCCGATCTGCACCTCTTGGCATATCAGTACTGCGCATGTGCAGCTTCAGTAAAGATAAGAAGGAAACATGATGGCTCACTTATTACTTATTAAACTGTGTGTAATTCAGGATATTAATAAGTTTTAACCATAGACTGTACAATTAAGTTTCTGAAGAGCCGTTGTGCAGCTCAGTGTGGTCAGCTCTGGCCATTGCCATCATGGCACTCCCAGCTAATCAAAAAATGGGCAAAGACGTTCCAAATTCCCTCCCCCATACAGTTGTGCTATGCTGTAACAAGTTTACAAAGTTGGACATTTAAATATGGGGCCTTATTGACATTGACTCATTGCTGGAGCCAGCCTCAAGTGGATGTTAGAGGAACTGCAGTTTTTGTTATTATTATTATTATTATTATTTATTTTATTTGAACAGGGACAGTGCACAATAAAACATTAACCCTGTATGTAACAAGGAGAGATACATTGCACTGTTATTTCAGTGTTGGCTTCATTTGCAGCCACAGAAGTTACAGCTTGGTTTTAATGTCTTCTTGATGCATTCTGATGAGGTATCATATCTATCAGCATGTGTGAGACATACCACCATATGTTCATAGCAAACGTTAGCAAAAGTGTTGCCAAAGTTTTGCTAAGTTAGTTACTGCTAGCTTAATACAGTAAGTAAGGAATTTTTAAATGAAAAAACTAAATATAATAATACATGTTATGATGCATGTTAATGATAATTAAAATAGCTACTATGATCTCTGTTGAACATTGCACATGTGTAGTACTGATCTGGCTGGAGGTACTGACACCCTTTCCACTCAGTAGCTGCCCTTAGTTCTTGTTCAATTCATGTTGAAGCACCTTGCAAATTTACTTTGTCCTTGTTGCAATCAGTCTTGTTCACAGCCCCCATGCCCTAACCTCAAATATATCAAATAAAGACATTTGTCAGCCTGAATAATTGTAATTGACTTGGCCCATTGTCAGATTCCTCTAGAAGCTGAAAGACAGCATATTTGTGTGTTGGCTGACTCCAAAATACACTGGGGAGAAATACACAAGGAAAGCACATTCTGTGTGAATCATACCATCACCAGCACACACATGGTAATCATACACCAGTGTGTTATGGCTGTTTCTATATGTATGGGTTTCACTCACTAATCCTTTGAAAACTGGATCTGTTGCTGATTTGTCACTACTTTGTCTACTTACCCTCCCACCCAGTTGGTCTGACTAAGGATTTCAAGACTCACATAAATGATGAGCATAGCGTAGATGGAAAACATCACAGGCGTGGACGTGGTGGTAGAGAGTCTTCTCTATCAGGTCCTGAGGCTCATAGCCTGTCAGCTCTGCCACCCTGGCGCCAGCACACAGGAGAGAGGGTACAGGCTAACAGTCAGGGGTTGATTTGTGCTTAAGTGCATCATAATGTTCGGTTAAAACTGCAGTAGGTAATTTTTATACAAATACATTTTTGTCATATGTCTACATATTTCTATATTGTAATTACAAATCATTTTTCTGTTAATTATTTTTGATGGTTTCTATGATTTTATACTTCATGCAGGCATCATCAAGATATCATAATATCATGGCTTTCATTTATCCATTCTCCTGCTCAGTGAAGTGTCTCTCCTACCTTGTGTCCAAGAAAATTAGTTTAAAGTCCAGGCTGGCCCGGAACATGAACATGTTGCTGTGGAGTTTTATCTCAGTGATACCACTGGGGGGCAGGGAGTGACCGACTGCCACCAGACCCACAGTCTGATAACAGGATTCATACAGCGGCATGTCCATCATGTACTGACGCACTTTCAGGTAGCCGCTGCAGTGGATGACCTGGGGAACAATGGTATGAAACCAATGTCATTACACGTTTCACACATTCACTTGAGGGTTTACAACAAACAAGATTGGGATTTAAAACTGCATGCTGGATTTCTGTAAAAAAAAAAAATTACTTTTTGTTATATTTGCTCCTGATGAGAGTACATTCATTCCCAGGTCATCAAATACACACGCTTTGTGTGCCGGTAGTTGATTATTGAGTCTCCTGGGAATGAGACTCAACAACATCCTACATCTTTCTTGGCTCTGATTGGGTTGTTTTTGTTCAGGTACAGTGGATTCTTGCAAATGCCATTAGGAGCACTCTAAGAAACCTAATTTTTTCACAGATCATCTGTCGCATATACTATGTCAGGATAAAATGAAAGTTTCAGAAAATATGACGAAAAAGTTACCTGGTGCAGCTTTAAACTACGGTTGCTTAGCCACAACTTTGCAACTGCTACTATATTACCAGCCAACATTACTTCCTTAAGTAGTGCCTGTGGGTTTGTAATAATTATGAGGGACTCAATTCATTGAAGTAATTCAACATAGATCTGACTAGTTCTCTATATAGCTCTAGTTTTATTGAGGAGCAACTGAACATTCATGAATTTCCTAAATGTGTAGCCAACTAATGGTGAAACCACAGGAAACCATAATCTGTCTACAAGACACCTCCAGACCTTCAGCTGCTGCTGCTTCATGAGAGCGTATCCTGAGATGAATACAGTTGATGTTTAACACCATGGTTTTTTGAGAATGACCAATAAGTGATTGTGCAGTGCAGTGATTGTTTATGTATTACTTAATGGAAAGAAATCACTTCCATGTATGTGTTTGGGTAAATGAAACTCCAGTGGCTGGACCTACCTTATATCCTCCACATGTAAGTCCTGCATTTCTTTTAGCAAGAACACACTTCATCCTCAAGAAGAAGGAGCGTTCTATTTCATACTCTGTCACATAAACACACATTACAGAGGCATTACTCACATGTTGTAGTACATTGTGTTTTTACAATAAACAAAAATATACCTTATTTTTTCTATTCATTGTATACATTTTTATCATGTTTAGAGGACCACAGTTATGGAATTCATTTGAAATAACATTTAATTTTTTTCTCCCTTATCAGCTTTTAAAGTAATTCTCATATTATCTTCATCCTTATGGCAAGATGCTTCTTTGGTTGTATATATCAGTGATTCCCAACCTTTTTCCTTAAGGGACATCTTTTTTTTATCATTGACTAAACTGACAATATATTCTATGTATTCAATGCAGATCATTTCTTGTTTGTGATTATGTTCAGCTTCTTACACCCCTTAAAATCAAGAAGGCCTCGTGACCACCTGTGAAGCTTTGTCAACTTGTTCTAGTTGGCATCCTGACACCCAGGTTGGAAATCACTGGTATATATATCTACTTATAGGTTTGTTTTTCTGTTCTCTCTCATTCTTCTTTTAATGCTATTCATGCCTGTACCTGTGGCTGTGTATATAAAGATTGTTTGTGCTATGTGTTTTGTTTTGTTTTGTTTGTTTTTCTTGAATATTAATGCCATTTTTACTTAATTGTTAATAACAAGGTAGGACTGTGAATAAGCCTTTCAGGTTTCCTTCCTTCCTGCACTGTAATTACTGTCTTCTATATGTATGTATTTTGCTTTGTATTATTGTGCAAATAAACTAATTCCAGTGCTGTGATCACCCTAAAGATTAGTAATTTCTAGTTGTTCACTTCTGTTCAGTTGTTGCTATTGTTGTTGCTGTACAACTTTGTCTCTGTCCTCCTTTCTTCTGTAAATAAATGTATAAGGCGTATGGTCTAGACCTGCTCTATTTGAAATGTGTCCTAAGATAACTTTTGTTATGAATTTGTTTTGAATTGAACTGAATTATCTCAGATTTCTTTTTACAGACCAGTATAATCAAATGTGCATAAAAGAGACCAACAGGTAACAGTCTATAGTCTAAAGGCTATATGACTTATGTAGTATGACTGGATCTTATGATGTATACACAGATCAGCCATAACATGATGGCCTCCTGGGCACCATGGCAGTAATAATGTTCTTGTCAAAGTCGCTCAAATCCTTACTCTTGCTCATTTTTCCTGCTTCTAACACATCAACTTTGAGGACAAAATGTTCACTTGCTGCCTAATATATCTCACCCACTGACAGGAGCCATGATAACCAGATAATCAGTGTTATTCACCAGTCAGTAAATGGTAAAAGGACTGTACTTACATATATAGTGCCTTTCTAGTCTTTCCGACTACTCCAAGCGCTTTACACTACATGCCCATTCACCCATTCACACACCCATTCACACACTGATGACGCAGCATCGGGAGCAATTCAGGGCTCAGTATCTTGCTCAAGGACACTTTGACATGCAGCAACCTACTGAGCCCAGTGGTCATAATGTTATGGCTGATTGGTGTACATAATCTGGCAGACGCCTTTACTCCAAAGCCATGTACAAATGAGATGCAGTCCAAACCACAAGCACACATATCTAAGGCAGTAAAAAGTTGTTTTACTGTTTAATGACAACTATGGAGTCTGTATTGCTTCTCCTGAGGTTGGACAACCAGCCAGAAACTCCTCTTCCTGTGCCTCTTCCCTGGCAAAAACAGACCAGGATCAACAGTCACTACACCCACCCACCCTCTTTACCAATCCAAGAATATTGTTTTTAAAGTTCAATAATGGGGTACGTCAAGACTCACAAGATTTAGAAAAGAACGTCCAAAATTGAAGCAGCATATGCCAAAATCCCATAATGCAAACCAACATCTTTTCTTTAGACTCTCCCTGCATGGTAAACAATGTCCTCTTTCAGACTCCATACCCCAAGTTGTAATGCAGGCTCTCTGTTAAAATGTACTGTTTCCACACCTGTAGTCCATGCCAAACCAGATGACATCATTATGATACCATTATCTCAAACTCGACAATGTCATCACAAAGATCCATCATCTAAAACAACCCTCAAAGTTCTTTTTCATCACAGCAAGAATTACTTACTTTAATTACTCAGCTGAGGTCAACTGTAATGTTTGGCACTGTTCTATAAAAGTGAGCAGTGGCAGCAGACCAACAGACTTAACAATATGTATGATTTAATTTACTATGATGGCAAAAATAGGAAAATAACACTGAGGTTGTAATCAAACAAACAAAAAAATATCTCATTATCATTACAACAACAGAGGAATGTCGTACTCGGCATTCTGCTTTGTGCTTCAGTACAGTAATACTTAAAAAAAAAAATTTAAAAAGGAAGTCAAGTTAGACTTTTTTCAGAACTGCTTTTTACCACACCTCACAGTCTTCATAACAGCAATGAATATGACCTGACATATAATAGTTTACTTTGCACTAACCAGGGAACAGCAAATCTCTCTAATACGAGCAATGGTTGTCTGTGCCGTAAATAAATGCTCTGGTAATTTACAGTATGTGATATACCATGACATGTGCACGAGAGCCTGGAGGTTGAAGGTTTAGGTACCTGGAGAGAAGTGATGGTGCGGAGGCTGGCAAAGACCCAGCACTGCTGTCATCTCATCGTGGTCTGATGGGTGAATGTACTCAAATATACTGTTTCCTGTTAGCTCCACCTGCAGCACACACATTTCCAGCATGAGTTATATGGTGATCAGCTACACAAAAGCCAACTAACCAAAATCCATACAAAATGCAAAGACATGCAGCCAGAGGTGCCCCTAGAAATCTTTCATAGGGGTGAGCAGATAGGGCCACTGAATTTCTTGGAGTGGCACACCAAAACCAAAAGCCACCGGAGGGGTCTGAGTTTTACTCAGTGATGGATGGTAAAGAGTGGCTGACTGGCTATGCATTTATTATTTACTTTCACATTAACTATTATGAAGAATATAAATAAATACGAATTCAGAGGGCTATTTCCAGCCCTTCATCCACCCCTCCTTCTGATGTCAAAAATATATAATAGAAAATAGAATCTGGCCTGCAAGTTTATCTATCTATCTATCTATCTATCTATCTATCTATCTATCTATCTATCTATCTATCTATATATCTATATATATATATATGTATTATGGCATGTCCTTTAGGAAATTATTCAATGAATATATTAAATGAAATCTGACATCATCAAGGCACTGATGCCATCTTGTGTTTTAGATAATAAGATTTAATATTATTACAATGTTGCTTCAAGTCGAGACATGCCCATTCAAGCTGAAAGGACACATGCCCCACCAGATTTTTGATATCCCGATTTTTTTTTTTTTCACTTTTTTATAATCTGTAATTGTAGCTTTATATCCAGGCCCGGTTCTACGAGGGTGCAAACATGCATTGCACCCTGAGTTTAATCATTTGCACTCTTAATGCCAAGCGCAAGGGGCTCTTATAGGCGCACACACTGTATGGCGTCTCCATGCACACCTTCTAATTTGGTCCATGTATGTTCAGCAGCGCAACCTGCAAAAGGGCTGGGTGAAGCTAAATATAGATCATAGGTGGCGATTATTAAATACTGTATAAAAATAAAGATACTGATTTGGTGAAACCGCTTGTATTTTTATAACCTAACTGACTGATGCTCTTTTAGAAATAATTATCTTGTATCTCACCTCGTACATGGTCATATAGTTCAGTAATTAATGTTACACAACAGCGTTTGCCTTGCAGTGTGTTTCAGGAATGAAACATGAGACGCTTTTGCCAAAGTTTGCCAAAACATAAAGTTGGATGAGGCTATGATAAGCCCTGGTAACTGGATGTCTCCTTCAGAAAAAAAACAGAATATTGAGTTCTATCCGACCAGTCTGGTGTGTGTAGAGCTCTGTATGTTAATATTGTAGCAGCCTGCTGTCGATTTAATAAAGGTAAACTCAGCGAACGGCGGTGCGTAAAGACACTGCGCTCTGGCACGGCACTTAAAACAACTTAACATAACCGTCCATGACTTCAGATGCTGCAGAGACTTCATGAACTGTAGGAGATGCTTTTTATATGATATAAAGCCACTGTGGACAGCAGATACTGTAAGAATCACCCACATTCATTCATAGATCAGTGACTGATTTACTGACTTTCCTGCTTTAACCATATTGAACCTTTTGCTGCTTCCTATGCATTGTGTTTGAACATACTACAGTACAGTAGCAGCGTGAATATTTGCCCGCATACGCCAGGGCGTTAATTATCTCTTCATTAGTAAGGACTGTTTATGATAGAATCCGTGCAGGCTCACTTAGGCCCACACTTCTTGCATAACATCCTTAAACCACCCCTTCATATACAATTGAAATAAAAACACAATTCTATCCTAAAAACTGTATTTCATTTGGCACAAAATAATGGGTTAGGGTTAGCGCCAAAGGTGTCCGCAAATACGTGTGAATAACGGTTGATAAGAAGAGAGACGATTTTGGCCCTTTGTTTGTTGTTTGGCTGTGAACAACAAATATGATATAAAATGATGATATTTGTATTTTTTGTTAAGTATTATGTTAGTAATGGAAATATATTCAGAATATTGCACTTTCTTGTAGTACTTGAATGTTGACAGGCCCTTCTATGAGACAACAATAACAACAGTGGCCAAGTTGAGTTTGAGGCCCCTGGTTTAAATGAATAGCAGCTAATGTAAAATATAAGATAGAAACATTTTATGCAAACAGTACTCATTACTCAGAAGACTTGCGAGGGAGGGGGCAGAAATTGTATCAGGGTAGCCATGGCCCCCTTCACGTTTATGGTTAATGTGAAATGTTATGTGATGGGGCTTACCTGGGACAGGCCAAGGTGGACTGATGCTGTTTCAGAGATGTACATGATTTTTCCATCAGAGGCAACAACAAACACGAAACCATCCAGAGTCTGTGGGAGCAGTAACAAAGTAGTTACTGTTAAACAGTAAATGAGTAAGGTTTTCATTTTTATTAAAAATCGTATTATTTACCCGTGACTACCTTTTATTAGATTCTCTTTTTTTTTTTATTAAGAAAAGCATCTGGGAATATTTGTGTCTTCATTTAAAATTAAAATTAAAATGGTAAACATTGGTTATAAATTAACATTACAAAAATTCCTGGTAAATGTAAGATCTAGCAATATAATTGCCAGTACAAACACTGTATTTTTAAGTTTTTTTATTTATTAATTTAAATATCTTTTCATTAATTTGATGGATGTGTTGTGCATAACCAGCAGCTCATTTGCACTTCCTGCTGTCTGTCAGTAAACCCATGCTCCAGGTAGTACCAGGTCATAAAATTAAAAATGACTAGCCTTGACCACCCTATCAAATATATATAAAGTGAAAAATACTGGCTGATATATATATATAATTCTAATGTGTCTGACATATAATCCAGGTGGCAGTACAGTTCTCCAAAACATATTTACAAAGAGAAGTTTAGATTAGTTTAGTTTTAAATGTATTCAGACCCATGTGGTTTATTGCTAGATCTATTTTTTACTGTCATATTTAACCATTTGTGACTCAGCTGTCTCTAGAGAAAGAAATGTATGATTTAGTCCAAAACGTAAACTACACTGTCAGTAATCTAAATCCAGCTGCTTTCCATCTTAACTAGTCCAAATAGTGGACCTCAAATTGGCTGCACATTCTTACATCCTCTGTTTGAGCAAGAGGTAGGACTATTGGGCCTGACACTTATAACTACACAATGAGCGCATATAGTCATTTAAAAGTCGTAGTACAGACTAATAAATAAAATAACTCAACTGGACCATAAATCCTGTCATACTGGTGAGTACTGGCCCAGTTAAACATCATTAAGATGTCTTAAAATCAAACACAGGAATATGAAGAGCTAGGGAATGTAACACTGAAAAAGGCATGTGAAAATGAAAAAGGTTTTAGCATAAGAGTTAACAAAAGTACAGTATACCTGTATATAAAAACCATTGTAGTGGCAGCTGTAATTGAGCTGGTAATGATCGAAGTATGATTGTTTTAACAGCATTATTGTTGGTGTAATCAGTGAAATAGTAGAGAAGAATGAATATTTAAGGTAGGTTACAGGTCATAGTAGTGGTATCAGTATTTGCAGTACTAGTGAAGTAATGGTAGCAGTTTTAAACAGTAGTGGAGGTATTTTAGTGAATTAAGTAATTTGAATATAACATAAGTGATAACACCTGCGGCACACTTGGCCAATCACATTCCTTACTTTCATGCCCATAACAGCGTGTGAGAATTTTCCTCAGAGAAATTTTACTGCAGAGTTTCAAAATTATATCAGCAGCTAAAATATACTGCTACTGAGAGCAGATGATGTCTCCTTTAGAGCTGAGTTCATGTTTCTGGACATATTGAAGATCCTATGATCATCATGTTTTCCAAGTGTATTTTACTTGGCATCACAGTCATCTTACACAGAATTACCATCTGCCGGTAAAAACTCACAATATCATAAATAATATAAAAGTTAAATTTAAAACGTGACAATCACTGAGATTTTTATTATGCCTCTGGTCTTTTTCACCAACAGGAAATCGGCTCTATTCTGGTTCAAAGACCTTGTTTTGAACTATTCTGAACGTTTTGACCCATACTAAATTGGTTCAGAACCCAAAAAGTTGGTTTCCAGATGGGACCAAAAAATAACAGGTCTTCCTTGGGAATCAAAGTGGGCATGTTATGTTCTACAGGTTGTGCATTGTACCGGACCCTCTGCTGATGATTCATCCAGTTACTATGGTTCGACTCAAAATTGGCAGAAGGCTGGTTTGCTAGAACGCACCATGGTTCCAAAAATCTTGAATGTTCAAGAACCAGAGCTAATTTGGTGGAAAAGGGGCCTCAGTAGAGTGCATACCTCTACTAGGTTTCTCTGGAGCTAGAAGTCAGTAATTAGTGGTGGTATAAAACAGAGCAGTCAATGATACAGGTTGAATCATGAATCACAGTAACTTTGAGAGGTTCTTGAACATACAGTCATAAATGTGTAAAAAAATATCAACCTGATGTCTTCAGTAGTATGCAAGATTAGCTGCGGACAGACCCACACACGACCAAACACATGATCCCCTCCAGACATAAACATATTAAAAAACATTAGATGATATACAACCTAAACTGAGCACCACTTGCTGCCTATGTTATTTACAGTATTTAACCGTAAATACAGCATTTAATTGTTATACTTACGGAGGCATAAGAAGCCTAAAATGATGAATAATTTGCAGGGTTTAATAATTCAGTGTCAAGCCAGATTTATTGCCCACAGACTATTTGGTGCTATCTACTGACCTCCACTCTAATGAGCATAGCAAAGCAAAATCAGCTGCATAGGCTAGCATACAGTAACATCATTTAGTACTGAGCAGCACTTTCATGGAGCATATTATAGCAGTCATCCCAGAGGATAGTGTACAGTAGAGTATGAAAGAGAATACTGCAGTGCTAGAACACAATTTATTTCCCGTACTGACTTGTAAAAGGTGGGAACCCAGTTCTTTAGCCATGCTATCCAGAGGACTGAACCTTGTTGACTGACCCCATCCATCACCAAGACCTACAGAGAGAAACAGACACAGTAAGACAGTCAAACTGACAAAGACAGACAAGTGATGAAGACACTGTCACTTTCATATCAAACATGTAAGTTCAACATTGCGCAGATCCAGGGCATTATTTCCAGGGCTGAGAGCGGCTGCAGTTGTGTGAGCACTTCTATCAGTTTTCACAGGTATTGTGTCAAAAACTTCAACTATTTGTATGCATGTATATCCTAATACATATCCGGTGATGATTTATAAACCTTTTGGTGCTTGTTTGAACTACCAGACTTGTGTAACTCCACTGTTTGACACCACCAGAATTTGGAGGGGAAAAAATATACAAATAAATATATATGAGAAAATATCATTGAGGATGTGATACCAAGTTGAACATTTAATATTACAAAATATATGTAAATATATTCAAATATTGTGATTACATTTTCACAATATAAAACACTTACATACATAGTATGAAAGTAAAAAAGGAAATAACAGGGATTTGTCCGATTTTTAAAATACCAGACAGATTTTTATTTTAGAGCAGGGCCAATTCTGACCATTTTGGTCCCTGTGGCCGGACATTGTAGCCTTGTAAGTTATCTCAGGACACAGACCCAACAATTCCCACCATGTGCATGCACTGGGCGACTGTAGCAAGGACAAATTCCTTCTTATAAACAACCCATACAGTAGCCTGGTCTGTCAGTGACTAAGAGTGAGAGAGTTAGGTTATAATCCTATGAGGGCTACTTTTAGACTCCTCCATTTAGATTTCTGTATTATCACCACTCTTACAGTTCTACGTGTCAGTCACTTAATAGGGGCAGAAGTAGGTGCTTTTGATTCCAGGAGCAAATATCTACCTTTATAGCTGTTACATAGACCCATGGTCTCAGAGGACAAATCGTCTTGGCTTTGGGGATGCCCCTGACTTTTGTTCTAGTACCACAATGACGTTCAGCTGTGGATTTAAGTCTCAACAACTTTCAGATGCATTGCCATGGCATTATAGTTAACTAAAACTACACTAAAAACTGAAAACATTTTAAATCAACTAAAATAAAAATGCACAGGAAATGTCAACACAACAAGTCTGCATACGTTTGAGACTGGGATGTCTACATAACTGTGAGTCACTGTATTTGTATTGTATTGTCTATTCTCAACATCCTTAATCTTTCCCTGACAAATACCGCCATATTATTAGTTTAAAAAACTATGAAAAAGTATGATAAAAAAAGCGAAAGTGAAACGAGCAAACCCACTTTGGAAACAGATAGCAGTGCAGTAATAGACACTGTGATCTGTGGAATAAGTTTTTATGTAGTATGTAAACAAGTACCCACTCCAACTGTAAAATAAATATGTTCATGGGAAATAGAGGGTTCTGTCATCACCTGAGTTGTTACTAAGTTTTAATCTAAATTTGTTTTCCATAATCCATGCTGACATTCAGAGAGGCCTGTGTCTGCTGAGCTGCTCAACAATCAACAACCTAGTTGTCATCGAGCTGGGCTTACTATTAGGCCTTTTCCACCAACAGGGAACCGGCTCAGTTCCGATTTGTGTGCCTAGTTTTGAACAGTTTGAAACTTACCAATAATAAATTGGTCCAGAATCCAAAAAGTTGATTCCTACTTGGTACCAAATAATAGCAGGTTTTCATTGGGAACCAAAGGGTCCATGTCATAATCTACAGGTTGTTGTGCAGCGCCCTTTGTTGATGACGCCTCCTTGATTACAGTGGTTCCACTCAGAACTGATGGAAACACAGGCTAGTTAGTTGGAAAAGACATCAGATACCTGTCAAGGCCCATTTAGTTCTCAGTGATTATTTATTAGAATAAAACAAGGTGTTATCCTTTACTCCTCAGTATCAAAAACATGGTGTTTTCTGTCTCACAGAACACAACCAGCTGCCTCCACATGCAGTGTGTGTTCCTCTCACACACTCACTTTCTGAGAAACCAATTACAAAATACTCACTGTATTTTGTAACAGTCAAAGTGCTTCAAAATAAATGTATTGTTGAGTGTATGTTAAGATTATCACATAGGGGAATATTACTGTTCCCAGATCAGTGTTTCTGCTGAGCAGGTTAGCTTTTGTAATTATGTAATTATTCACACTGCCATCTCTACACTTTGCTCCCTCGACTAGTCCGGCTCATTGTCCCGTACACATCACTGTGTACTTTATGATCTGCTCTCCTGTCTTCATAAGGAGACTGCAGCATTGGTATATTTTTTATTAAAAAGCCATACTGAGTAAACTCCTTTCATATTTGTGTAATCTCCTCTCACTCACCAACAGCTATTATGATTTTTGCTCCACTAGATGGCTGTGCTACCAGGTCCCAAGGATTTGCTCAGAGCTTGGTAGATCAGCTTTCTCCTATTTTGCGGCCTGGTAATGGAATAAACATCAGAACACACTGCAGCTTAATGTTTTTGTCTTCCTGGAAGAGTTCATGGCTTTGATAAAAGCTGTGTAACTGAAGAGCGTTAGTGTTGTTCTTGAACTGAGTTTTGTATTGTATGTGTATATGTATCTGCTGTCCCTTGTTGTTTTTAACATGCTTTATTCAATAATTTTTGTTACCTCGTAATGGTGCACTGTCTTGGCCAGGTCTCCCTTGAAAAAGAGATTTTAATCTCTATGGACTTTTAAATAAAAGTTGAATTTAAAATTTCTTTAAAAATACAGGGTTAGTAGTTGGTAAAAGGGAAAAAATACTGAAGTAAACCTGCAGAAATCTAAATCTGCAAGTGGCCTCATCAATAAGGCAAGTGACCTTCACTGACACTGACTCCACCAACCACCCTGAATCTGTGCCTTACATTAATGCACATTTCCTGGGACTATATCTTGCACACTGTAAACATCCTTTATACTTCAAACTGTGAACTTGCACATTCGCATATTTTGCACATGCCCACACAAACGGCACAGCCTTTCAATTAAATAACTCTTATCTTGTATATTGTCTCTTTTTTAATTGTCTCTATTTCGTCTTTATTTCTATTTTCCTCATACTATGTTTATAGTTATGCACCAATATACCAAGGCAAATTCCTTGTATGTGAAAGCCTACTTGGCAATAAACCTGTTTCTGATTCTAAAGCACCATTGTCCCTAAATTGTACTATTACAGTTTGAGTCAATACTTTAATTTCCATTCAGAATATTAACATACTGACGGACACACGTTTTTATTTGGGAATGATACATTGCTGTGTTCCCTTTTCACCTTTTTGAGAGGCTTTGTGACCCAAACAGAGCAATATGGGCCAGAAAACTACAGCATTTAGTCTTCAGTATTACATGAACTCTTTAAAAGTAATATGGTTTTCATGAAAACACCTAAAAATGTTAAGGAAATTATTCTGTGTGGCTTTCAGTGAACACAAATAAATAATTTAGTATAAATTTAAATAATCTTTTTTTATCAGCTTTATATAATGGGAGCAAAAACCTCTTGTGACCTTACTGAATTCCTCATTTTCTTCCCATAATAACAATTTTACCAAAACAACAAAAGGCTGAATCTTAAAAGCAACATACAATTGAACAAAATACAAAATTATATGTAAAAATTATGCAAAAACTATAAAAACTATATATCCCTCACTCCCATCCTTTAAAACCACACTCAGAACTCTTCTATTTAGATCTTTGAATCTCTGATCTATCCAACCCCTTCTATCCTTTTATTGTTGCCACTGTTTTTATTCAGTTTTGCTTCTCCTGTTTATAGTTGTTTACAGTTGTTATAGTTGTTGTTGGTTTTTTTACTGATATTGCCCTCGTTGTTTCTGTTATTGTCTTTTGTTACCATGTAATGTGCCATTTGTCACTGTTCAGTCCATATTTCTAAGCCTGATAATTGTTTCATGAGGTCTGTTTTTGTTGTTTTTTTAATATGAAACTAAACAAATAGCAGTAGTTTTTTCAGCAGCCGAGGTACACCTTACAACAGTCAGGCTACTGTGCTTCATGTGGATGGATCCGCCTCTCACTCGGTCTAAACTCTCCAAAATAACAAAAGCTTCATTTCACTGTTATCACCAACTCTTCATCAGTAAATGCCTGCAGTAGTAATGCTGTCAACCTGAGGGATAGCTCCTGGATGAACACATGAATGTCATTTTTCAGCAGTCACTAATAGATACAAGACGTCTTGACTCACTGCAGGTATTAACATACTGTTAAATGTAGAATTATCAGCAGGAGAAGATCCAACAGCTGTATGTGTCTTGTGTCTGATCCTGTCTGTTATTCAGATTTAATAACATAGAGAGGACAAACTCAAATAACCACTAGGTGAAAAACAAAATTGCTGCATGATGGCAGCTAAATATCTGAGCTCTTGCCACAACCTGAGGGACATCCAGAAAAACAGCACCAAATGAAATTGTTTTTGCATGTTGAGATTGACTGTTGATGTTTGCTTGTTAGTGTCATATTTGTGTTACAATGCCCTATTTACTAGGGTTTGTGATTGTACAAATATGTACACCTTTATCATAATTGTTATTTAGTAACAAATATCATTCTTTAATAACTTTTCATATGTGTTTGCTTTGGCAGTACAGGCACTATTCGTGACAATAAAGCTCATTAAATGTAATTGAAACTGAATAGCGATTAAAACAGATTCATGAAAAAAGCATCACATTAAGTTTTTCCACGAAGCCTATGTAGTCTATATTAATTATAGATGCATTATAATTAATCCTACATTCATTTCTGATCGTAAATGAGGGCCATAAAAGCTCTGACATAAACGATCTTGACTTCCTCAAGTCCCAGCTCTGCGTTCTGGAGCTTTACTGGGATTTACAGGACTACAAAATAATCGACCACAAAACGGGTCCGTGACATTCTGGATTTCTCAACCGCACCCTGGATCAGCCCTGTGCGCACTGACAACTCACAGGCCGCTGAAGTGAATGAATGCGCAGGCCTGCTCTCGCTGAGGCGTACTGCGGCTCGGACAAAGAGGTCGCATTGACGGCTCCGCTGCCACGGGTGGCCCGGCCGTAAGAGGCCAAGTATTCAGTCTGACTTTATGAGTGATGACAGAGAGGAAAAGCTCTGTTTTCTTGCCCTCTAACCTGCCCCGGTGGAGCTGTACGCGGCCTAATGAAATAATTCACCTTGATGAATGAGTGAGGAGGATAAACTGGACGTCAGCTTTTAATCAGAGTGGGAAAACAACTTCGATGACACCTCAATTAACGAAATTAGTCTAACAGCCGAGAGATTATGATTGAGTGAAGGAGCAGACTTCCAGCCCGAAATTCACCTTCTGCTACTGCTACTGCAAGAACAAGTAATACTGAAATTACTACTACTAACATAAACTAAACTATTATTATTATTATTATTATTATTATTACTATAGCTTTCAGACAAAAGTCTAAATGCGGTACAAAGGCGCCTATAGCTACATTTTGTTGCAACCAAAGTTTTTTTAACGCAACAGTGACATTTAGTTTTTAAGCTATATGTTAATTGCTAGAGTATATTAATATTGTTTTAAAGCGGTACAAACCCCCCCCAAAAAACAAAAAACAAAAAAAACAATGGGTATCACTTTATAATAAGGCACCCATTTCTGAGTTGTAATTTACGGCTTTAAAAACTGTTAATAAACCATTTACTTTAGAATCTATTCAGAAAAACAACAGTGGGGTTGCCAAGTTGTGAAAATCCCCTTTGGTTGGTTTTTTTGTATTGATACTTTTTTTAGTAGTGGTGCAGTTAATTACGGTGGAAAATGGTTCTTCATTAGATCACTCAGTTCTATATTCTCAATAAGTCAATTATTCATGGTCGTGTCACTAATAATAATAGCAATATTTTAATAGCACATTTTGCTTTGTAATTGTAATTTATAACTTTTAAATAGCAATAAAGGCTGTTGCCTTTTAAAAGGACACTTTACTTTTTAAGAACATTATATATAGCCTAGTATTACATGTTATATAGTTATTACTTGTAACCCCATTTACAAAGACTGCCTCATTAGAAAGCGGTACCAAAAACGGAGTCTATTTCCTCACATTCCACATTTAGACTTTTTTCCCCTCAAACTATTTAAGAGACAGTGAAAGCGCCTCTGTGATGTTTATATGCTACAAAGCTCCCGTACGTCTGTTCTTTAGGAAATCCTGCTCTCACACACTGAAAATCTAAACGAAACAGCTTTATTTTATACATACTGAAAACTAATAGATTGTGTTGGATATTTGTAATGCGTTGTTAGAATATGTCAAATTAAAAAAGCAGGAAACTGATTTTTTATTTATTTATTTATTTATTTTTTGCTATCTTTTCATATTTCAATTCTGATAGCCTATATTTTTCATAATAATCTAATTAAGATAAATTATTATGGTCTGTGATTTTGTAGCTATACTGACTGTTATAAAACATGCAGAGTTTGTGTTCTTTTTTTAGTGTAGGCTATTTGACATTTCACTGTTTTGAGAATGTGAAATACACCGGTAGCCCCCCCCAATGTGTGCCGCTCTCTGGCTGTTCCCTGGTGCCTACCGTCGGGGAAGACTGCCCTCATCTTGAGGTAGCTGCTGGTCAGCCGGATGATGGAGGCCTTGTCCAGCTGGGAGGTGATGGCCGCCGGCAGAGGCAGCAGCTTGGCCAGCTCATAAAACTCTCCGTTCTCCTTCTCTCTCCGCGTCTTCGCCGCGTTCTTGCATTTTTCCTTCATCTCTTGAAGTTCTGATAGATGATTCTTGCATAAACGTAAGTCTCCGCTGATCTTTTTCCGATAGACTCATGTAACAAATGCAGTTATGTTACTGAGAGATGAAATCGCACCCCTACCATCCCCAAAGTCCAGATTCCAACAAATAAAATAAATGAGCAGCAGGATTCTGTTATCTTGATCCAGAGAACAGACCAAAGTCGCCTATGTGTTTCGTTTATTCCATCAGCCGCCCAACGCACTCCGAAAACCAGAGAACACACATGTCTGAACCATCCTTACTGAAGCTTTGTTCAACTCTTCAGCTTCACCTGTTAGACAAAGTTGCAGAAACCCCGACGCGTAACGCCACGTCCTCTCCACGGCGTGTTCACGGTGCTGTTGGTTGCCCTTCCATCCAGACATCAACGCATCCAGATGTTTAGCTCTCTGAACATCGATAGTCTCACGTACACAAACTAAAAACAAACAGAACACTTATAACTAAATGTAGAGAACAGGACAGCAGAAGAACTGAACTCGTCTGAAAACCTCTCAGACCAGATCCCGCTCTCTCTCCCTCGCCCTCTCTCCTCTCTCTCTCTCTCTCTCTCTCTCTCTCTCTCTCTCTCCTATCTGTGTCTCTCTTTCTTACTCTCTCTCTCACTCTTTCTTTGTGTGTGTTGAGTGTGTCCACCGACTGCTCATCTAAATACACTGTACACAATTTTTACTACTATATTCAAAGAATAAATTCAACATAAAAGGTTTTTTGTTTGAACTTGCTGTCAGCTGTATGGCAAAATAAAGCTAAAAAACATTCACAGTAGGCTATACTTTTATTAAGTACATTTTATTTCTTTATTGCTGCAATAACCATTTTAAAAGTACTTGGAGAGTATTTGTTTAGTTTGCCTTATTATACAGTGACAGTAGAAAGCCCATAGCAAATGAGGAGAGAGATAGAGGATGGCATGCAAGAATTAGGAATGTTGTGATTATATAGTAAATGGTAAATGGTAAGTGGACCTGTACTTGTATAGCGCCTTTAGTCTTCCGACCACTCAAAGCGCTTTTACACACATTCACCCTTTCACACACATTCACTCAGTGATGGCGAAGCCCATCGAACAGAGACTAACTCATTAATTCACACACTGATGCACAGCATCAGGAGCAATTTGGGGTTTAGTAACTTGCTCAAGGACACTTCAACATGTGGCAGGAGGAGCCGGGGATCGAACCACCAACCTTCCGATTAGACGACCTGCTCTGCCCCCTGAGCCAAAGCCGCACATAGTGATGGTTTTAAATGAGCAGTGTGTAGAATTTAGTGGAATCTAGCGAAGTGGTTGCAGAATGTAACCCCCTCGCCTCTCGTTCCCATTCCAAGCATGTAAAAGAAACAACTGGCCCAAAACCCAAAAGGACCAATCTAGAGCCAATGTTTGTTTTTTAATAGCCAATTTGTATTTGTGGGCCGCACATGGGTTATGCTCAGGCTACATGGGTACCAAGTGGGTATGGGCCCAAAATGGGCAACTTATCTGTCCATATGGGGCCCATTTTTAAGCCCATATAATACCCACATAGATAGATACTTTATTGTCCTTCACAGGAAATTTGAGGCGTGTTGAGGTCTGAGAGGTTCAATGATTTTGGAGCCGTGGTGTGTAATGCATGTCAGTGTGTTCCTATTTGAGGCAGTTAACATGTTGTAGAAGCAGGTTGAACAGTAGAGGATGACAGGTTGGACTGTACTTTTATAGAGTAATAACAGAAGTTGGGGGGCAACAGAAAGTGCATTGAGTTTGCGGATGGCAGAGAGTCTTTGTTGGCATCGTTTGTGGATGTCAGTGGTGTGATGATGGAATGGTCATGGACCCCACATACAAATGTTGGCTGGGTAGAAACATGGCGGTTCAACCTGATGGCCTCAATGGAGGAGGAACCACTTACCTCTACACACCGCACTGGATCTGAAACTAAATACCTGGAGAGCTGGACTCCTTTTCCAGGGTAACGGCAGATGTGGGGAACTGTTGTTTGCAGATCCACTGAACAACAGTTTGTAATATCCAGCCCTCTTGAATTCTTGGGTGGGGTCCTGCAGGTGGGTGGTGGACTAGCAGACCACCAATTATAGTTCTCATTTTTAAAAAGGTTCGGAGGGTGTTGAAACAAAGCTCAGACCAACTGTCAATCCTCACATTTAGGAGGAACAGTGCCTATTCCTTCGTGGCCATGGAATCATGGACCAGCTCTTCACCCTTGGAAGGTTACTGGAGGGGTCACTGGAGTTTGTTAATTCAGACATGTGTTTGTGGACTTACAGAGAAGACTTACAAACATTTCACCCAAGACACCCTACAAGACACCCCCTTGTAGGTACCCCGTACTCTGCATGAGTAGGGGTTACCAGGGCCATTGCTACAAGCCATTAGATCCTTATATAACCAGGGTGAGAGCTATGTCCAATCAAGCATGTTTTAACGGGATGTTAGGCCCTGCTAGGTTTGTATCTTATCATGGTTCTGTTTGTGATCTTCATGGACAAGATTTCAAGTGAGGGGGGAGGAGAGTGTCCAGATTTGGGACCTCAGAATCACTTCTCTGCTCTTTGCAGATTATATGGTTTAGTAAACTTCAGCAGACCATGAGTTCCATCATGCACTGGGGCAGTTTGCATTGTGTAATTAGTAAACTCTATTTTCAGAGCAACTGTATCAATCAGCGAGGTCAGTGGTCAGGATGGGAGTCAGCACCTCCAAATCAGCCCCAAAACAATGGATTGTTCCCTCCGGGTGTAGAGTGACTTGCTGCCCCAAGTGAAGGAGTTCAAGTATCTTGGGGTCTTGTACACAAGTACATTTAAAATGAAGTGTGTAAACAAGTGTATTGGTGATATAATAGCAGTTATATACAGATATAATAGCTATTTGGTATAACAACAAAAATACAATGATAATATTAATTTTTTTTTTTTAACTTACCCCTACCTTAAATTTATATTTCTAATTATCCGTAGAGCATCTTTTTGAAAATATTTTACAAAGCCATCACACTTTTGGGGGGTATTAATTGACAATTGATTAATTGATTCTAAGTGATTCCTCTAAAATTAAACTGAATAAAAATTCATTATAAAATGTTTACTTATAAAAGTTAACATTTCAACCCAACAATAGACATTGCTCAGACAGATTAAGGTAAGTAGAACACATTTTTCAACGAGATATCAACTAAAAATGTGTTTTTCTGAATGTTTAAGAAGGCCATTAAAGGATTAAATACAAATACAGTAGATTTAAGCAGCATATGAAAAGTTTTCCTATACTTATATGGGCACATAAATTAAAAAACAAAACATTTCTAATTACTCTACAATGAAGACAAAATTTATTTTTGTGGGTGACAATAAAACTTTGTCATTACTTCTGAAATCTACCATTGTCAACGTGACATTTAACCCACACGTTAAAGTTTTGTTAATCGCACCTATGGTTTAGGGTGCATAAGCTGGATAGTAACTGGAGGAAAAATGTTACTCGCACACCTAAAGGCAGCTTTCATAAGTGTAATCATTCCATTTATTTGCATTGGCTGTAAAATTCTGGCTATCACTTTCTGTATGGCTGTCAGTGTTGATGGATAACCATTGCTCTGGCTGTCGAAGGAAAATCTTACCACAGGACTCACTGTGGACCTTTGAATCTGCTCTTGTGTATAAGTGCTCTTAACAAGTGGAAGGAGGAATGTTTGTTTTGTTGTTGTTTTGGATGCCAGTAGGCTAATGAACATTCCTGTAATACACTCTAAAGGACCAGTTTAGTGGGTACATCTATTAAACCACCTCTCAATATTATGTAATTCATTTCAACTGGACAACACACCGCTGCCTCCAAAATAACCACAGAGCTGAATCAACACTGGCAATGTAAACATTATAAATGTCAGGCAGGTTTTATTAATGAAGGGCTGTTGTATTTAATTGCAATTTAAAGTGGTAACTGTGTGTGAAGAAGATCATTTAAAAAAATTGACAGGCTGACATGCAGTGGTGTAGTGGTGCCTGGAGAAGTGGATATGCTGTAAATGTATGCCCCAAATAATTTTTAAAGGGCCCACTTAGCAAAGGATAAACTTGTTTCTTAAAGCTGCAGTACGTAACCTTTATAAAAAAAAAAAAAAACATTTTGGTTATATCTGCTGACCTCTCCTCAGCTGTCACATGTACTACTGTCAGGATAAAGTGAAAGTTTCAGAAAATTTGACCAAAAGTTTTTTTTTTTAAATTACCTACTGCAGCTTTAGACTTCACACAGTGAGGATCATTATGAAATCAATATTGGCCACAGAAGGATCAATACCGGCCCACAGAAGGGTGAGACAATAACATAATTATACATTTTAAGTGAAGTACGGTGTTCCTTATTCCTTACTCACTCCACTCATGAAAATTGGACTATGTCATGTCTTCACCATCCTAGGAAAAACAACTGACTTGCAGAACACTACTGTATGATCAGGGGGAATTTAGAAGTGGGTTTAGCCAATGTTGACTGAAAAATAAGTAGGTATACTCCGTATGTCTGCATATACCCTGCACTAAACCACTGCTGTCCTGTTTGAGGTGGATGGTCAGTTGTTACCTGTGCTACTAGCCAGTGTAAGACAGGCCATACTTAGTGATGTATGTGGATTGTCAGTTTACTTTATCATTCTGTCTTTTCTATATTAAGTATAGTTAGAGACTGACAGACAAACAATGTCTGATGATGAACAGTCAATCATTGTGGTAGCAGTTTTTGCATTGAGAGCTTACAGTGTGCTGACTCATGTTCCAATGATAGAATGTACATGTGTGGTATGCTGAGTCAAGTATAAAATCCATCCAGGTGTGCAGCACATATTTGCAGATTATTTCCAGCTCAATACAACATGCGTGGTAAAGCTGGGCGATATGGCTAAAAACTCATATACATCATGTAAGATGTATAGCCTACTATAGGACTTAGATATTAATAATAATGATAATACATTTAATTTATATTTCAAGAAGCTCAAAGACACTTCACATGAGTTAAAAAGGAAAAGAAAAAGGTAATAAAAAAAACAACACACTAAGAAATTATAGCTAAAACACACAGAGCAAAGAGTGAGAAGGACTATGACTGTATCTCATATATAATGTCAGAATTTTTTTTAATTTTTCTCAAAAATGACTTATATGTATGTCAGGCGTTTTTCATAATAATGAATTAACGTTACATGATGCTTTTTTTCACCACATTGCCGGAAATGGGCCTCCACAGTATGAGTTTCCAGTCGGACGTATTCCGGGGAACACAACCCGGTTCACGTGGGGCAGGGCTGCAGGGCTGCCCTGAGACGCTGTTGGAAAGGTGAGTGAGTGAGTGAGTGAGTGAGTGGAGTTGTTCTCTAAACTAACATTAACACAGCACAGTGTGGACCGGGCCGCTGTCAGCAGCCACAGACCCCCAGCGGCCCACTGGCACTGTTCAGGTCGCCAGCTGGATCTGTTCTGATCGGGAGCGCGCAAAGCTACAGACCTCAATACAGTTTAACAATGATACAATATTAACTGTCTGCTGCGTCAATGCTTGTATGGTTTATTCTGGTTTATTCTGGTTTATTCTATTGTCTATGAAAGTGAAGACCGCGCAATGGTTTTGTAAAATAGCGTTTCCTTAATCTGAAATGAACACAGTTTGTTTAATAATCCCTCAGTATGTTTTCGTTTGTTTATTATTTATACGTTGAGCCAAAATGTCAGCATAGTATAACATGGATCCAAACTTTGTGCAATTTATAAATTACTTGGAGATTTTAATATAATTTTTTCTAAAATGTCCACTGTTGCAAATGCCATTTGGAGCACTAGGAGGAGCCAGAGAAACCCGATTGTTTTTGTCACAGGTTATCTGTCTCATGCACTACTGTCAAGATATAGTAAACGTTTCAGCAAATATGACCTACAGCAGCTTTAACCCAGGTCTAATATGACTGAAAGCGGTAGCTAAACAGCCTGATTTTAGCTCAGCATCTAACTGATAATATTCTTTGATTTTTTTTCTGCAGATTAAAATGCCAAAGAAAAGCAAAGCAAAGATTGTAAAGAGACAGAGCAATGTTGAGGACGAGCAGCTCCCTTCTAAACAGAGCAGGGTAGAGCACAGTGACACTCCATCCCCTCTGTGCTTCGACAGCCCAGCCAGCCTGTTCCAGAGCCTCATCCAGCCCATGGACACAGAGCAGTTCTTCAGGGAGTACTGGGAGAAGAAACCCCTCCATCTGCAGAGGTCTGACCCCAGAACTGCCTCCTACTACCAATCTTTGTTCCAGCTGTCCAATCTGCAGAGTCTGTGTTCTCAGGGTCTGGAGTACTACAGGGACATCAATGTTGTTCGCTGCATTAATGGCAAGAAAAAAGTGCTCAACAAGGAGGGGCAAGTTAAGAACAGTGTTCTCAATAAGAACTTTGTTCAGAATAAGGCCACCATCCAGTTCCACCAGCCACAGAGGTTCAAGGTGAGCAAAAGAGCAAAGATGAAATCATGACTTTGTTGGCTTTGTTGCCTTTGTGACAAAAGATGCTCCAGAATGTATTTTTCATCAACATCTAAAACAACAACAATGCTACTGGCTAAGATAACCATGTATTTTAGATTGTAATGTGCATGGAAAATGTACATTCTTTTGATGTCAGCATTATATATCGGCTGCCCCGCTCCCTAAATATCGGCATCGGCCATAGAAAAACCCATGCACCTCATGCATATATAAAAAAAATAAATGACGCATTAGGTCCAAACATTGCATTCAAAGCAGTCTGAGTTCTGAGCTTTTTGTTAACAGGGATTACTTTTACATACCGTTTCCTCATTATTTTACACTTTGGCCTCTTTTCATATCAACATCTGACATTTTAACATATTTGTGATAATAACTAAGGAACTGCAGAATTGGTCCGCTTTTAAGTAGATTTCAATGTACCATAATAGAATGTACAGGGTGGGATATTCTAGTCCTGAATCCAGACTTTAAGAACACTTTTTTCATATTCACTATGTATTAGACCAGGATATCTACCCCTGCTAATATCCTTCTAAAATGACATTACATTACATTCATTAGGCAAATACACAATTAGTGCATTCAGGAATAAGAGCTAGGTATGTATACATGTAGTGTTTCCTATTGTTGTCAGGATGAGCTGTGGAGGATCCAGGAGAAGCTTGAGTGTTTCTTTGGAGGTTTGGTGGGCTCTAACATCTACATCACGCCACAGGAGTCCCAGGGCCTTCCAGCCCACTATGATGATGTCGAGGTAAGATGGAGCTATGACTGGACTCACTCAACGCATGATGACACACCCTCATTTCACAAATTATTCATGACTATGCTCTCAGTAGTGGCAAAAGTACAAAAGTAGTTTACTTATTTACTAATACTTGGTATTTCACACAAACCCCTTGACTGGTTTAAATCCTACCTCTCAGGCCGCACTCAGTTCATCCAACTCCAATCCTTCAGTTCCCACCCGTCCCCCGTCACCACTGGTGCCATCCACAACCTTTCCCCTCCTTATCTGTCCGAACTCCTCCACATTGCCACCCCTTCCCGTTCCCTCAGATCTGCCTCCTCTGTCCCTCCCACCCGCCTCGTCACCATGGGGAGCAGGGCTTTCAGCCGCTCTGCCCCCCGACTCTGGAACTCACTTCCATCGGACATCAGGAACCTGGACTCTCTCCCCCTTTTTAAATCAAGACTAAAAACTCACCTATTCAGAACTGCATACCCCACTTAACTCTCTACATTGTCTTTTTCCTGTCTGTTTCTTATTTCTTACTTTTTATTTGTATTTTTATGTATTGTAGGGTGTTGTACAGAGTGCCCAGAGAGGCGCCTTTAAATAAAATGTATTATTATTATTACTTGAGTATAATTAGCAATACCACCGAAAAATATTCTGTTACCAGTTAAAGTCAGTATTAATTTTTTTATTTAAAGGACCAGTGTGTAGGATTTAGTGGCATCTATCAGTGAAGTTGCTGATTTCAACCAATACTGAATACTGCTCGCCTTCTAAATATGTAGGAGAAACTATGGTGGCTGCAAAAACGTGAAAAGCCCTATCTAGAGTCAGTGTTTGGTTAGTCCTTTCTGGGCTACTGTAGAAACACGGCAGTTCAACATGGCGGACTCCACCATGAGACCCGCTCTTTCTGTAGATAAAAAATGGCTCAAGTTAACAACAATCTTATTTTCAGGCAATTATACACTATGATGAAAACATTCCTATGAATATTATATGTACAATATATCCTCCTAAATGTTACACACTGGAACTTTTAAAGTTAATGTACTTTCACTCATATTTTATATGCTCATTATAGCTAGTATAGCTAGTAGCTAGTAACTATAACTGTCAAATCAATGTAGGGCATAAAATGTGAAATGATATTTGACTATAAATCTAAATGTAGTGGAGGTAAGTATTTGGCAGACGCTTTTGTCCAAAGCAACATTGTACAAACACAGTAGATCAAGGAGATGCCTTGAAAAATAAGAGTCTCAACACTCCATGTTCCACCTTACACAAGGGCCACAAGGTTGCAGGTGCATGAAGTAACACATACAATAAGTCATATATTCAGCTGAGTCTGGGTTGAGGTACGGTTAATTTGCTGATCGTTGTTCAACATTTTTGAACAGTTGAATGGTGCTGAGCATTCAGTGAGGTGCCGTATATTTCAAATGTGAAAGAACTTTGATGAGAGTGGTGCAACTCCACACCCACCCTAGTAATTTAATGTCAGTCCTTGAGTTTTAGCCTCCATGTGGTCAGCAGAGAGCAGGTAGCAACTTAGAGGTCTCAGTAACATGTATTGTTTCCTTATGCTGATGGTGGTCTTCTCCAGGTGTTTATTCTGCAGCTGGAGGGAGAGAAACGTTGGCTTCTCTACAATCCTACTGTCCCACTGGCAACAGAGTACAGCGTGGAGTCAGAGGAGAGGATCGGCAGCCCAACCCATGATATTATACTGAAGGTACAGCACCCTAATTGTGTGTGTGTGTGTGTGTGTTGTTTTAAGACAGACTTAAAAAAAAAATGTGAACCTATCCTTTAATTTTCATATGCAAAGCTGTTAACAGAACATCAGCCAAATATCTTATTGAACAAGTTTTTGTTATATAAAATACAGTTTTCCCAAGTGAGACAGTCATTTTGTCTCTCCACAGGCAGGAGATCTTCTGTACTTTCCCAGAGGAACCATCCATCAAGCCAGCACCACAGCAGGAGTGGATCACTCCACCCACCTCACTCTCAGCACCTACCAGAGAATGTACGAGAGCTACTCTCTTCAGTTTACACAATGGCAGTGGAGTGAAAGCAGTATAGTATAGTATAGTATAGTATAGTATAGTATAGTATAGTAATAGTACTGAGTGAAGGTTTTCCCATGTCTTGGCAGCGTCACACAATCACTGCACTTATGCACATCAAACAGACACAAAAACAACACACAGCAAAGAGAACAGAAAATATCAGAGATTGTATTGTATTGGCATGCAATTATTCGTTTGCTATTGCTATGCAGTTAACCTGAACACATTTACACTTGTAGTGTAAGCAGAGATGTTTGGGTTAAAGATAAAGGTTGAAGGTTGTATGAATGTGAAAGTTACTCAGTCTTGAAGCACCAGTCTGAAATGAAATGGCGCAGTTATTAGGAAAAATAACATTAATGTAAAGCTTCTGTCCAACCTCAATGGTGTGTAGGGTGTGGAGACAGGAATTACTGTGCAAATGTTCATTAAAAATTTAAAACACACAATACTGTATAAAGGTAGTCCCAAACTAACAGAACTAAGCAGATCCCTCAGTGTTTCACAGTCGTGGTTCAGGAGGTAATCAGAAGGCTGGTGGTAAATGCTAAGTGGACCTGTACTTGTATAGCGCCTTTCTAGTCGTCCGACCACTCAAAGCGCTTTTACACTACATGTCTTTTACACTACTACCACATTCACCCTTTCACACAGTCACACACCATCAAACAGAAACTAACATTCATACACATTCACACACCGATGCACATCGGGAGCAATTTAGGGTTCAGTATCTTGCTCAAGGATACTTCCGTCATGTGGCACCAGGAGCCGGGGATCGAATCCACAACCTTCCGATTAAGGACCGACCCACTCTGCCTCTGAGCCGTAATGGAGTAGAGCATTGTGGATATTACTTTACGATGTCTGACTAAATTGCATTGAGAAAAAAGTTTTTACACTATAAAGTTAATTTTAATGACATTTGATGACTGTATTGTTAATATAAAACCAGCTCAGCAGGAACAGATTTCTTGGCAAAGAAGGGAAATTGTTGGGTATTTGTCCCTCTGTGACGTGGCTGGTGAAGATCGTTACACTCTCTGATACTCTCTCACCTGTCCTCTCTACCTGTCCTTACCTCAGGTCATGGGGAGATTTGCTGTTGGACATATTTCCCAGCTTGCTGTCCGACAGAAGCAGGACTGAAGTCAGCCTGAGAGAGGGCATGCCCAGAAGTCTATTACTGGTAAAACGGTTTGTTTGGTTTTCTGTGGCGGAACTAAAAATGAAATCACACTTCAGAACTGGCAAATATAAGACAAATGTTTGTTAAGTGGAATTCTCAGGTTGTCTAATACCAATGCTGGGAATGACCTTAGTGGACAACCTGCTCTCCCTCTGAGCCACACCTGCATACCTACAGCACCAAGTGTCTACAATGAGTCAGAGAATGCTGATTTTAGAGATTATCTGTGAAAGGTTAAGCAAATTTGAAAAAAAAGTTATTTTTGTAAAAGTTGCCTACTGCAGCTTTAAATTTGCAAGGAAAAATAATAAACAACACATGTTTACCATAAAAATTGCTATACACAAAGGTAGACTTAAGCGAACATTACAACCTGCAAGCCACTGTTTCTTGGGGAAATGTTGCAGGAGCATTGTCTGTGTGTTTCTGTGTGTAGGGCAGCGGTGAAGGTCCGGACAGTCGCAGGAGACTGGCCACTGCCCTGAGATCTCTGGCTGATGAAATGGAAACAGGGATGCAGGAAGTCCGCTCCACTCACATGAAGAGAGACTTCATAATGAACAGACTGCCGCCGTACAGCCAACAGCAGCAGCTGCTGACACCATGTGAGCTCTCAAACATGTACCGGGGACTGTATACTATGTGTACATTAATAGAATTGACTTTTGCCATTTTGTGTGTGTGTGTGTGTGTGTGTGTGTGTGTGTGTGTGTGTGTGTGTGTGTGTGTGTGTGTGTGTGTGTGTGTGTGTGTGTGTGTGTGTGTGTGTGTGTGTGTGTGTGTGTGTGTGTGTGTGTGTGTGTGTGTGTGTGTGTGTGTGTGTGTGTGTGTGTGTCACACAGCTGGAAGGATTCCTGCCCTGGAGGATATGGTGTGTTTGAGGTTTAAAGAACATATCCTAATAACAGTGGAGCCCAGCCAAGAGAGAACAGTAAGTCCATTAAAGCTTTCATTTTATTTTTTGTATTTTTCAATCTGGTCCTTATGTTTTTGTGTCAAAGTGACTAATGGGGACAACAAGTTTTGAAATAATACAAGTTGTGCTGGACATTTTTGGATTGTAGTCCCTCACTCAGATCGCCTATATAAACCTGGGTGCGTATTTAGTTTGAACCTCAACTGTTGGTAGGATAACCTGTATGACACTTCATTCAAAGTGGAACAGACTGCAGTGATCTTTTCAGCATCAAGTTAATGTTTTCCAGAGCTGCAAGCCAAATTCTCATATCTACATGCGTACAAGTATAACATTTCTTAATTAATATATACATGCACAACAGTCATCATTGTATGTGCAATGAACACTTTAACTTTGTAGAAGATGAATTTTCTGTAAAATAAAAAAATAAAAAAAAAACTTTTTTACCCATTACTTATGTGCTGTGTCCAAATTAATGTAGTCAATTTGCCTAAAACAGCAGTATACATCACCTTGGGTAAGCAAGGACTCTCCTGTATTGTCAAGAAAATAATTTGTTAAAAAGAGTGGGAACCCTGTTCTGGCAATACAACCCTACAGAGAAATGACACGTTTTTTGTTCTTTTTATCCATTGTGTGTCTACCCAAGTCTTGCTCAAAGACAAGTCTCAGGAGAGGTGACTTGTTACAGAAATGATGGTGAACAAGCTACTGCAACTTGAGAGACTGCTGGTGTCCTGTGGGTGCTGTGACCCTATGCTAACAGAGGAGATTTCACAAACACTTTTAATGGATGTCATTTAAAAGATTACGTTGTAGCCTGTTTCGTAGCTGCAGGCGAGAAAGCTCGCCCTCAATACTGGACCAAATTCAAAACTTGTCCCCATGAGTCACTTTGACACAAAACATGGAAAATAAGGTCCAGGTTGTTCTGTGCAACACCACTGGTCAGGTAACCTGACCAACATTAAAGACTGAATTCAGTGACACACTCAGCTGTGTGTGTGTGTGTGTGTGTGTGTGTGTGTGTGTGTGTGTGTGTGTGTGTGTGTGTGTGTGTGTGTGTGTGTGTGTGTGTGTGTGTGTGTGTGTGTGTGTGTGTGTGTGTGTGTGTGTGTGTGTGTGTGTGTGTGTGTTTCAGGATGAGGCCATGGAGCTGGTAGTCTTTGTCTTACACTCTTTGAAGAACCCAAGGGTGAGCCACATGATGGGTGAAACCTGTGATGAAGAGGTAGAACAGGACATCTCCAGGGTAAGCTGCTAGTTATCTGTTTCATGTACTACTGTCAGGATATAGTGAAAGTTTCAGCAAATATGAAAAAAAGTTACTTTTAGAAAAATTACCCACTGCCGTTTATAACTGGTAATGGAAACGCAAATCAGTGTGGTTTTACTCAGTGTGGGCAAGTGCTAATGGAAAAGCCCTATAATATGTGCATGTGTATTGATTGTAAATCAGGTATATATACAGCTGCTTATATACAGTCACCTGAAGCACTCTTGTCTTGCACCTAGGTAGTTTACTGGCAGTGCAGTCTTTGATGCAATATGTCCCTGGTTGTCCAAACCCATTTCCAATTGTCTTTGTCTCAGCAGGGTCTGCAGTTCCCTCTGTCCCACCTCCAGGCCCTGCGGCAGCTCCAGCAGGTAGGGCAGCTGGCTGTGGACCAGCTCCAGCTGCCCACACGGGAGGACAAACTCAGTCTGGTCCTGGCTCTCTGGAGTGAGAGCCTGCTGGTTGTGTTATAGCCCACCACTACATCCAGATATCACTGAAGTGAAGTATTAAAGTCATCTGTTGATTTTTAGAAATACCTATAAATATTTCTCTGTGCCTTTATTGTGTTTTTTGGTCTCTTCCTTCGTTCCTTCCTTCTCTTTTCTGACAAAATGAAGTGTGTTCCTGGGGTTTCCTTTCCATCTTCTAAGATAAAGCAACATCAACTACAGCACCTCCTGTAAGAAATTGAAATAACATTCAATTACTTTATGAGCACAGAAAAAACTAAAAGTCACTTGAGTCATTATCATTATAACTTGGATTCATCTGTACACTTAAAAGGCACGGAAGCTCTCCTTGGTGGATTTATAGTTGAGGCAAGTGGTTAATAAAAGTACCACCCAGGGGCGCCCTATAGGGGGGGAAAAGTTAGGACAATTCCAAGGGCCCATGACTGACAAGGGCCCAAAAAATAGGTAAAAACTAATATAAAATTATTAAACCATCATCATTCAGTATATATATTTCAAATATAATAATAAAATTAATGATCTCTTTGTTTTTACTTGTTTTTGGCAGTAAAAGTTAAATATCCCTATTGACCAAAAAGTAAACATCCATATTGACCGATCACCCCCCTGTATCTGCATGAAATGGTTTGGTCCTGCCTTAGCACACTTATCAGTGACGGTGTTTATTGCAGTCAGTAGATGGCCAGAACTACAGTGATCACAATGTTAACTAGTAAATCAAAATCTGGTTTTCAAAAAAGCAAAGAGAGAAAAGAGAGAGGAAAGACAAAGGAAAGGATGTTAATCTGTAACCCAGTGTTTCACCAAGAAAGGTGGTTACCCTATAGTCTGTGAGTGGTATTAACCTGTTGGCTTAATGTCCATAGTGAAATAAGATAGCCAGCTACAGACTAGTGTTAGCCTACATTTAATCACCATTTAATCAGTTCAGGGAAACGTTTAGCAACATATTCATATTAAATCATTGTCCCTGCCCCTTTTAGCAGACTTAACAACAGATGAGTCAGCAGCACCCCAGTCTGCCCATCACTGTACCCCTCCCTGTCCCAGTGAAGAAGCTGAGCAACATTGTGTTCAATGACAGGCCAGTTAGCATCATTGCAGGGAGTCTGTGGGGATTTCTCTGTCTCTCTTGCTCTTTTTACCATTACAAAAAAGAAAATGAAATATTTATTAATGACAGAAATTCAAACACATTAATAACAATTATTTTCTCACATAATGATCATTATGAAATAAAATAAAAGAACAACAACCTACTGTCTGTACTGGATGCTGGACAGTTGGAAACAGTGAGTAGTTTACCTGAGCCTGCATGTAAGATACAGACAATATTAAATTAATCCAGTTTGATACATTCATTTAGATTGAATTATGGAATGACATCTATAGATACAGACTTTATTATAATAATAATAATAATTAATAACAATAATTTTGTTAAGAGAATTTTCCATTTTGAAATTTTACAATAAAAATACATTGAGACTGTAAAAGATGGCCTTTAGCACATTTTTTATGGTTGCTTTTAATCTTGCATCAAATAGTGAACTGCATACTGTATGCAGACTTGCATGCATTTACAAATCACCAGCAGTAAATATTGTGCTAGTACTAGTATTGAACTACAAGAAGCAAGACAGTTGCAAGCCTTTAGTTAGAGTTATGTAAAGCTTTTGATGGGACATAGTCTGCAAAATAAGTCCAATAGTATTGAGTCTTATAAAGAAATGAGCCTACTTTGGACTTGATTTATGAACTCCGTAAACAGTTTCCCAATGAGTTTATGGTCTCAATCTCTAGTTTCAGTCTTCTTCCATACAACATGACCATGAAATTTTGTGATTGACAGGTCATTCTCAAAAACTCAAACTAAGCAGTGCTGATCAAATTTGAATCAAGATTCGGTTACTGCCCTAACTATTTCTGTTCAATTCAATTTTATTTGAATTTGAATATAAGAGAGGAGCTCAGTGCATCATGGGAAATCCCCAAGCAATCTAGGCCTATAGCAGCATAACTAAGGGATGGTTCAGGACTCACCTGGGTCAGCCCTTACTATAGACTCTCTCCTCAAATCTTAGTGTACTTTTTATTTGGAATATAAGGTTGTGTGTGACCAGGCAAGCTGCCATTGTTTCCTGCTACGGACATGATGAAACTCCAGCCAATGAGAGCAACTCAACGAGCAGTATGTCACCTCAGCTGGCTCTGAAAAACCAACATGGTGACCACCTTAAAGGACCAAGATTCTTTTGCGTACACAAAGCTAGGCAAAGTGTCTCTCCAGATTCTGCAAATTAAGTTGTTTGCCAATTTGTCTTGCACACATATGATACAGCCGACAAAGTTTTGGACATTGGATTTCACAAGTCTTCTCTCAACTGTATCTGCAATCTCTGCCTCATTCCAGAGACCAAAAAGACATCGGAGGCTGCACTACACAATGTAAGGTCTTTTCTTGTCATTGAAGAATTACAAACCAGAAAAAGTTTAATATTAATGTAACTCATAAAATGCAAATTGATCACTGGTGTATTATATTTAAACATTAATCAAGTTTGTTAGCAATAAGGTAATACAAAGGTTATACAAACTTTGTATCTGGTAGGTGGATATGAAATCAAGACTTTATTGCAAATAAGGATTAAAAGACACTGTTAGCCCATCTGGTAGAGATGGCACCCCATGTAATAAGGCTGAGTCCTTGCTGCAGCGGCTGTGGCTCTTTGCTGCATGTCATCCCCTCTCTCTCCTTTTACTGTCTTAAAAAACTTAAAACATATATATCCCTTTGATGCACCTTCAAAATAGTTACATTAAGGTCCCGTCACTCAAAAATGTGCTCGTAAAAAAATCAAGCTATAAAATGTTCATAAATTTAACAATTTTTAAATGTATTTTTAAACGGTAGTATATAGTGCCGCACACGTATACTGTCATGATGATGTTCGTGACGTGTAGGCGGAGTGATAAAAAGTTTGGTGTGTCTAGTTCCCGGTCTACCGGAGTGCATGTAATGCAGGCTACAAGTGTGCGTAATAAAGTAACACTCTTGGAGTTAAAGACCAGCCTATGGATGTCCGTTATGTATGTTGAGGGTCCGTGTATGTTTTGGTCATTGGATTTTCCTTTCAGAAACGGGTATTAAAAAACAGAAAACGAGTGCTTATTTGATTTTCGTTTTAAAATACAAAAATTAAAATTGAAATACAAGGCGTTTTTCTTTTTCATGGTCATAAAGGGAAGAGCAAAATTTAAAAAATGATTCGATTTTCATTTTCTATTTCATATAACAAAAAATAAAATCACTAGAAAACAGAAACAGAAAAAAGGCCTGTTGTTTCATATTCTGAGACCGGATGTTGTCATTTACAGGACGGTGCTGTGTAGAAGAAACAGTAGGCTAGTAGACTGCGGTCAATCCAGCCGTGAGTCCGATCTCCGTGGTCAAATTTTGTCATGATTACTGCATCATTATTGAAGTGTAATGAAAATGCTTCACCCATAGCCTGGAAATATTGAGCAATATGTTTTTAGAGTACCTCAAAGATAAGAAAATATGGAATCTGGAGGTATAAATATGGGACTTTTATTCTTAAATTTCTCCAAATTGGTGCCGTAAAAATGCTTGATATTAGTATGCTTGTAGTCTCTATGTGTAAAAGTCAAATATACCATCAGTAGCCAGGAAACACTGAGCAATATGTTTTTACAGTACCTCAAATATGGTCAAATATGCAATCTCTGGAGGCATAAATATGAGGCTTTTATTTTGGCATTTCTCCACACTGGTGCAGTAAAGATACTTGATATAAAGTGTTTTTATTGATAATGGGTGCATGAAACACTTTAATGTAACATATTTTATTTTAAATGTAGGTTCGAATTATAGCTTACTGTTCTAAATACCTTTATTTTGAAAACCATCGGAAGTAAATACGCTGTTTCTCCGCATTTACCATAATGCTGAGAATACTTGTACACTCGAAATTGCTGTGCGGCTGTTTTGACCACGGAGATCGGACTCACGGCTGGATTGACCGCAGTCTACTAGCCTACTGTTTCTTCTCCACAGCACTGTCCTGTAAATGACAACATCCGGTCTCAGAATATGAAACAACAGGCCTTTTTTCCGTTTCTGTTTTCTAGTGATTTTATTTTTTGTTATATGAAATAGAAAATGAAAATCGAATCATTTTTTAAATTTCGCTCATCCCTTTTTGACCATGAAAAAGAAAAACGCCTTGTATTTCAATTTTAATTTTTGTATTTTAAAACAAAAATCAAATAACCACTCGTTTTCAGTTTTTTAATACCCGTTTCTGAAAGGAAAATCCAATGACCAAAACATACACGGACCCGGTCATGAAGAACTATAACATAAACCAGTATCAGTCCTAATCATACATATCAAATATTAATGAATTTGAAAACAATTTAACCCTTAAATTGCCATGTTTTTGGTCATGATGCAACTCCATTGTGTGGTCTAAATAACAAAAATATATATATATATTTTCAATATACTTCATGCAAACTGGATTATTTATGGTTTGATTACTGCAGCCTGGTATATGTGAAAGATTAGCAGCAACATTTATTTATATGCATTATTTTTTGCTCAATGTCAAGTTACTGAGACATTGACATTTTTTGTTGAGGTATACCCACCACTGTTAGCTTTTGTTTCAATAAATTCATTGAGATGAAGAAATGACCATTGCATGCTTCTACTTAAATGACCTACTTTCATGATATAATATCACTGTGGCATGAACTTTTTACATTTCCCATACGTTTCACCCGAAAGTCGAATATCCCTAACTTTTTTTGAGTAGTATAACAACATAAAACATAAAACAGAGCAAGAACAAGATCTATAAATGAACATAACCTGAATAACAACAACAACATAACATAACATAACAACAGCATACAGAACAGTTCAGGGGTTGCGTTTTGTTAATTTCAAAGCTGTGTAGATGTGTGTTTTACGTATTTTATAATAAAAAATGTTGTGGTGCTTTGAACGTTTGCATCAAAATTACACGTGAAACGGATGATATGGAAAAGGTGCCACTTCAAAGCTACCTGCGCTTTTACGCATTCGGTCATAAGGTAATGCAACGTGCACGCTGTAGACACGTGTGCGCATGCGTACATCCCCACACACGTACTCACACACCCACACAAACTTAATGCCTCATAACTTGTGTGGAGAGAGGAGGAGGAGGACGAAGTGCAAGTGCCCTCTATTGTTAAAAGCAGGTATTTTCAACATTTGCCATAGGCCTATATGGTAAAATGACGTCACCGGGAAGGTAATCCCCCAGAGCAGATTTAAAAGCCTCGGGCCTCGAATGAAGCGGAGAAATGAGAAGTTCCATGTTTTATACTTTTTATTCGAGCAGGATCAAAAATAGTGTTTTGAATGGTTTTCAATCTGCACATTTTTGTGCGAAGGGACATTACCACGTCCACGTTGTTCACAATAGGCTAAAAATATATGTAAATATGAAAACAATTGAGAACACTCAAAAATGCACAACTTTGCATAATTCATCAACAATATGCATAACATAAAGGATGAAATATGCTAGAAATGAAAAGTCAAAAACACAAAAATGTGCTTGGGTGCATCAAAGGGATATATAAATGGAAAAATAAAGAATAAAACAACAGCAGGGGGCGTGCTCAGTCTGCATTCAGACTGTAACAGCAGCAAACGGACACGTGAAGAAAGAGCGGAACCACAGTGACAGCCTAGCAAACATAATCGGACTGCTTTTACCAGCGCACTCGAGTAGCCTCCATGACAGGCAGCAGTTGACAATAATACCAAGGTAAACACATATTTTTCTATTATTGTAAGGTGTGACACACAGATGGACTGACTTTCAGTCTGTCCTTACGGCCCGGCTGTGTGTAATGTGTCAGTGACGTTAGCACTGCTTTAATGTGAAGAGAATGGCGTTCTACCTAACGTTATCTGTCGGCGTTAATACACAACATTCCTCAGAAACTACAAACAACTAACTACATTTGGAATTGCTTTTGATAAGTTGTTTCTGGTGGCATTTGTGTTGAACGTGTGTGAATATGTAAAAACCACTACTGTGGTGAATAAGTTAAGGTTAACATTAACTGTCAGCCAGAGTCATTCTTTCCAGAGGGTTCAGTACGGATAACGTTAATGTGTGCTAGGTTTAACGAAGCTAACCAGCTAATGTTAATGTTACTAATGAATAATGTATTTTTTTTCTTTTAAATGTAAGGACTGTAAAATGTGTAACGTGTATGACGTTACACATTTTACAGTCCTTATAACTGTGAATGTGGCACTGGATTCATTAGGAAATAAAGTGTTCGGCTAGTTCCTCAGGAAATAACACTTTTCAAAATGAGTTTTATTACTTTATTTATTACTCCCTGCCAACCGTAATTAGTCACACTACTAGTTATGTTACTTGTCTGCTACTCCCCATAAGACTGGTAATTGTGCCCCTTTCTCCCTAAAATTCCGACTGAAGATGATTAAAATCTAGTTTTGTTTGTTAAAATTAAAGTAATGGAAATATTTCCAGTTGCTGATTGTAAGTGTTCCCATCTTCCAAACTAGTTTCCTCCACAGTTACAAAAATCTATTCAAGACAGTGATTGGATTGTTGGATTTCAAATTAGTAGGGAGGTGAAAACCAAAATAAGTAAACTAAGGTTGTAACTACTTTTCTGATGTTGCTGTAACTGTAATATTATTACTGAAATGTATTAGTAACACTAGTAGTTACTAGGGAAAGTAATTACTGTAATATTATTACTAGTAATGAGTTGCACTGCAAAATCAAGCATTAGGCACATATATTTAATGATATTTAAATAACATGACAAACAGATAGAAGGAAGAATGCAAAAAATAAAAAATAAAAAAGAATTATAGACTACACCAGAATTCCCTCTCCTTCTTATCTCCCCATTACTATCATTCTTTTTTTGTAGTACAGCACAATATCAGAAACCAAAATTATATTTCAATACAACGGTGAATGTCAGATCTAGCAGGTATCAGCAGTGACAGGGTCTGTGCAGTCTGTCTAAGAAGTCTGCTCATGATCTCTTTTGCAGTTGATGTTTGCCTCTCTGTCCACAATGATGTCGCATGGGTTCAAGAGCAGTAAGCAGGACTTCACCTTTGGACCATGGAAAGTGACTGCTGCCAAAAACCACATCATGAAATCCAAAGACATTGAACGGTGAGATGTTTTAGTTTGTTCAACCCAGCTCATCTTTATTATATTCTGGTCTATGTATGTATAAAATGATGCACTGATCTACAGTTGTGCAGCCAAAAAAGCATTGTACTGTGTCTTTGAATCAGAGATACCTGGCGGATCTTGGGGGTACTTCTATGGCAAGATTTTCAGTTCCGCATTCTCAGGGGACGATGAATATTTTTGTTACCTTTTTAGAATGAGCTGATTTTATCTACAGAGAGTGCAGTTCTCATGGCATGGTCTGACATGTTGAACTGTCACGTTTCTACAGTAGCCCAGAACAGACAGACCATATACTGGCTTTAGATTAGGTCCTTTCGTGTTTTACGTGGGCACCGTTGTTTCTCCTTCATGTTTGGTTGAGTTATAGGGTTTGCAATCTGCAACTTCTTATTCCTGAGCATGTAAGTGTCTGTTAAGCAGCTTTTCTGTTTGTCTTTCCAGGTTAGCGGAGGAGATGAACATGCCCTCCCTCCCAGAGATGCTGTTTGGGGACAATGTCCTGCGCATCCAACACACTGATGGCTACGGCATCGAATTCAGTGCCATCAACGCTCTTAAGAGAGTCAACAACATGGAGGATGCTGTCAAGGTGGCTTGTGCTCAGGAATGGCAGGAGAGCAGGCAAGATGAGCTTCACAATGTGTTACCAAAGGCTGGTTTCATTAACATTGGATATGTCAAAACTGTAAAACAGCTGTGGTCAACTAACCAGACACAGAGAGCTACAGAAACAACCATGCTACGTTAAGGGCATGCTGAGTAAGATTTAAAAAAGAAATAGATGTGTCTGTATCTCCAGAGACCCTGCATCCCTTTTCCTGTATTTTCTTATGTTGCTGCGTGAGGGACCTTTCTGGTTGTAACAATCAGATTACTGTCTTTGTCCTCGTCTCTCCAGTACAGAGGTTCCGTAGAATGTAACTGCTGTGAAAACAATCATAAAATAATGTTTTATTTCTCGGATTTTCTTTTGCTCCCTCACTCCACTCAACTTTTTTTTACCATTCGATTCAAAAGGCTTTATTGCCATGACATTTGACATGTGTTGCCAAAGCACAATTACTATAATAACAATATTAAAGAATGAAATTGACAAAAGCAATGGAAATACAAATTGTTAAAAAAATAAAATAGATAAATGTAAGAGAATAATATGTATTAGGGCTGCACGAATGATCATTTTGCATCACAAATGCAATTGTCACTGAAAAAACTATTAAAATCATGATGATTCGGATTCTTATGGGGACTGTACCAAACAAAGATTTGTAGGCCAGGGCATCTATATAGAACTGCAATACTTCATTAATGGTAAATGGTAAATGGACCTGTACTTGTAAAGCGCCTTTCTAGTCCTCCGACCACTCAAAGCGCTTTTACACTACATGCCACATTCACCCTTTCACACACATTCACACAGTGATGGTAAAGTCCATCGAACAGAAATTAACATTCATACACATTCACACACCGATGCACGGCATCGGGAGCAATTCGGGGTTCAGTATCTTGCTCAAGGATACTTCGACATGTGGCACCAGGAGCTGGGGATCGAACCCACAACCTTCCGATTAAGGAACGACCCGCCCATTATAATGCTGTTTGTCACATTTTACCGTTATCCAAAAGCTGCAGCTTCTGTGATTCGGTGCAGCCCTAAAAAATCGCTGCTCTCAGTTGAGCTGTGTTCAGCACTTTTTTTGTGTCTCTGGAAACACTGTTGTCACGTGTGTCTAATTGATGAAGATGATTTGCCTATTTGCAAGTTGCAGTGTGTTGAGCTTTTTGAAAATAATTATCTATAATAAATGGAGTCTTCTGTTGAAAATCGATGTAAAAACTATATAAAGCAGTTCACTGTGTGATCTCCTTCCAGAGCTGATTCTGAACACTCCAAAGAGGTGGTGAGACCCTACGACTGGACATACACCACAGACTACAGAGGCACTCTGATAGGAGACGATATGCAGATAAAGGTGGGTCATTTTTATCGACACCTTTGGTCTGTATTGTTAAAAGTCTTAGAAATATGGAGAGTGATTTTGTGTCTCTGTGTTTCATTCCTCCCTGTTGTTCGTCTGAAGGTGACTAAGACAGCGGCACGTATTGACATGGAGAAGCTGAAGGCTCGGGAACAGATCATGTTCTTCGATGAGGTGTTGTTGTTCGAGGACGAGCTGCATGACCACGGAGTCTCAATGATCAGTGTCAAAATTGTGAGTGTTGACTTCATGTAAAAAAGCTGATACTATTGATCCAAATAAGGACCAGATTTACTAACATCTAAGAGGAAGCCTATAATCTGTGTATAATCAGTGCTCGATTTAGTTTCTGAAGTTTCACTGAGAGCTTGGCTCTCTGTCGCAGGAGCCAGAATCACACATTCACACCCAGAAGCCACCTATAATGCAGTCAGATTCTGGAACCTCCCTACAGGCACATTCTGTTAATGAAGAAGAGCTCAGCAGGCAATGTTGTAATTGGTACAGTACAGGACAGAGATCTGACCACTTTGAAAGTAGTGTGACCAAGGCTTAAGAGTACCAAGCTCAGGAAATAAATGATAATGTAGTGCATCTTAACTGTTCTAAAACTTGCTTTTTGCTTTTTGGTAATATACTGCATCATTATATAATGTTTCATGAAAACTGTTGGAATGTTGTATGTTTTGGAAGAGCGACTCTGCAGTATAACATGTTGCTGTGTGTCTTGTTGATGATGCAGAGGGTGATGCCCACCAGTTTCTTCTTGTTGCTGCGTTTCTTCCTACGAGTGGACGGAGTCCTGATTAGAATAAATGACACACGACTGTACCACGAGGCAAGTTGGTTATATATAATTCATAGAATTTGAACTGACTGATAATGATCAATTGTGATGATGTTTTTGATTCCAGGCTGGAAAGAATTACATGCTACGGGAGTTCAGCACGAGGGAAAGCAAAATAGCAGAACTGAAGGTAAATAATAAATCCTCACACACAGCCACAGCTACAAAGCAGGAATGCGCGGGCTCTGGTTGTGGTTTCCAAAGAAATTGTTTTAAACTTGGAAATGTATTTTTTGCCTTGAGAGCAGTAACAGCAACTGCCCTGAAGCTAGTAGTATCCACTTTCACTATATCTTAACAGTGGTACATGAGAGATATAATCTGTGAAAAAATTAGTTTCTCTGGCTCCTCCTAGTGCTCCTAATGGCATTTGCAAGAATCCACCTGGACACAAACAAAAAAAAGACAAGGCCACAACCCAAAGTGTTTTTTCTATCTTTCTTGATGTATAGTTATCATTTTAACACAGATGTTACTCTCTCCTTCAGAATGTTCCTGCTGCACTGTACACTGATCCTAATGAGATCGCTCAGCACTTAACCCTGAAGCTGACAGAGTGTGAGAAGCTGGAGCTTCCTGTGTTGGAGTCTCAGACAGCTCATAATAAAGTCCTTCAGTGACCAGTAGCCTATTGATGTTATGCATGATGACAAATGGGAATAGTAATCTTAAACCACCTCCTTAATCTTACAGTAACAACCATTGATCTCCCCTTTAAAAATATGTACAGGAATAGTTTTTATATGTGACACTATGATGGTGTGTTCTTAAAAATGCAGCCTGACTTTAGACAGTTCCAGTATGTGCACAGTGCAGTGTGATGCTCTGTAATATCATAGAAATTTTAACCTCAGTTAAATACTTTGGTTTAGCTTCTGAATTTGTTCATATTTGAACTGAGTTTGAATTTGTTTTATGATACATTTTTCACTGTCAAGTTTGTGGGCCTTTTGACACAAGGCTTGGTAGAGTAGCTGTATGCTTCTTAGTATATCAATAATGTGTTTGTAAAAAAGCTACACAAAACAGCACTGTCATCAAGAATTTCTGTAAATATGTCTACTGTATTTTCTACGGTGATTTATGGAAGGTTTTCCATTTGCAAGTCAAACACCTCCAGAAGTGCTGTGAATATGGCCAAATACATGTTGTTTGTGCAAATGTAGCTAATTCGTGTTTTCTTTTGAGGATCTTCATGATAGTTCACATTTACGGAAGCCCTAAAGGGCCATGCATTCATACATTTTATTTCCTCGTTTTCCCGTGATAACGAGTTAATTATCTTGAGATCTCGAGATAACGAAACTTTGTTTTCCCGAGATAACAATATAATTCATTTGAGATCTCGAGATAATGACTGTGATATGATAACTGTGGTCAAGCCAGCCGTTACTCTGATCTCCGTGGTCAAATCAGCCGTACTTAAATTTACAGTGTATTCACTTCCGGTTTTCAAAATAAAGGTATTAAGAACAGTAAGCTATAATTCGAACCTACATTTAAAATAAAATATGTTACATTAAAGTGTTTCATGCGCCCATGATGAATAAAAAACATACTTTATATCAAGCATTTTCTGCACCAATGTGAAGAAATGCCAAAACAAAAGTTCCATATTTGTGTCTCCAAGTGGCATCTTTTCATATATTTGAGGTACAGTAAAAACATATTGCTCAACAATTCCTGGTTATGGATGGTATATTTGACTTCTGCACATATAAGAATACAAGTATACTTAATAGCAAGCATTTTTACTGCACCAATTTGGAGAAATTCAACAATAAAATTCCATATTTGTACCTGCTTTTACTGTACCTCAAATATGAGAAAAGATGCCACTTGGAGATAAAAATATGGAACTTTTGTTTTGGCATTTCTCCACATTGGTGCTGTAAAATGCTTGATATTAAGTATGTTTTTTATTCATCATGGGCACATGAAACACTTTAATGTAACATTTTATTTTAAATGTAGGTTCGCTTACTGTTCTTAATACCTTTTTATTTTGAAAACCGGAAGTGAATACGCTGTAAATTTAAGTGCGGCTGACTTGACCACGGAGATCGGAGTAACGGCTGGCTTGACCACAGTTATCATATCACAGTCATTATATCGATAATTATATTGTTATCTCGGGAAAACAAAGTTTCGTTATCTCGAGATCTCGAGGAACTTAACTCGTTATCACGGGAAAACAGAGGAAATAAAATGTATGAATGCATGGACCTTTAGGGCTTCCGTACACTTTAGCTGTGCAAAACACTATCAAAGTGTTTCTACCAATAATAATCATATAAAGGTCTGGTGTGTAGGATTTATTGGCATCTAGCTGTGAAGTTACAGATTGCAGCCAACTCGCCTCACTCTCTTCTTCCAAGTGTGTAAGAGAAAGTAGAGCTTTGATTCTCTGCCCAAACCTGGTGGGTTGTGTCGGGTCCAAATGTCATTTATTATTATATTATATATATATTATATATTATTATTATATTATTTATTCATTTTTTCAGTGTATGTTTACTTTAGCTTGTGATAAAATATTAAAATTTTTCAGATTCAGAAATTTAGATTCGGGTGGCGCTCATGCCCAAAACTTGGTCCGGGATTGCACCAAATTTTTTTGGGCTTGGGTAGGCAAGATTTTTTTGGGGCAGCTCTAGGAGAGGTGGCCATGAAAAACATGAAAGGCCCTATCCAGAACCAATGTTTGGTTTGTCCATTCTAGGCTGCTGTAGAAACATGGCAGTTCCACATGGCGGACCCGCTCCCTCTGTAAATATAAAGGCTAATTTTAAGGTAACGAAAACACTAATGACAACATGAGTATTTTATTCCATTTCTGCCAGTGGAGCCTCCTAAATGTTACACACTGGACTTTTAAATGAGTCCATTCTGACAAATTTCATCCCAGCTAAATGTTGAATTGCAAATCAACCTAGGACTTGTGTTTAGTTTAACAACATCAGGTGGGGCCATGGAGCAAATATGGTGATTTGATGTGGGAATTGCTATACATAACTAAAATATGGAATTATTCAACCAGCAAGATAATTCCCCTGAGAGTGTATATAATCACAAAGAAAGAAGAAAAACATTGCATTTGTCCTTTCATTACCACAAACACGTTTATTTTCAGTCCTACATACACCGTCCTGCTGTCAGAAATACTCTAGAGCACCAAATGTGGATGAGTCCGCTGCGGAAAGCAGTCCTGCTGCTTCTGAGGAAGTATGTCTTTAGTAGGAAGGAAATGTCCTCAGCAGGTTGAAAAAGCTTAATTTCATCAGCCTTTAAGTGTCGGCAAAGACATTACAGAACCTTACTATTTGGAGTGATTGAAGCCATTTTGAAATAAAATGGGGTAAACACAGGTGTTATCAATGACACTAATTAAGCTTCCATTCCATTTAGTGCAGCAGAGCCTTTTCAGTGAGCCAACATAGACAATAGCAGCACCCTGACTCTGTTTGACCCGAATGGAACGGAACCGTTTACCATTAGAAGAGACATGCTGAGTTTAAAGGTTATGAAATTACCCATCGTTGGTGGTATCACATTTTAATTTTTATATTGTGCATATCTCAATAAAGTTTTTCAATGACTGTAGTGCTTATGTCCCTTACTGCAGACAATTGTCATACACTGACAGGACATAAAAGTGATCGTCTTCTACAGCTGGCTTAGCAATTAGATAGACTTGGAGCTGTATTCACTGTAAAAACCTCATTATATAAAAACCTCTTCTACTCCATAACAATGATGAACAGCACTCTGTGTACCAACGGTGTCCACATTAACATTCCAAGAGCAAGATACTGAACCCCGAATGTGTATGAATGCGTGTGAAAGGGTGAATGTGGCATGTAGTGTAAAAGTGCTTTGAGTGGTCGGAAGACTAGAAAGGCGCTATACAAGTACAGGTCCATTTACCATTTACCATTAACCTGACCGTGTCAGGCTGCTGAAATAAGTAGGCCTGTCTTTACCTGTAGTTTTTAGGAAGTATCCAAAGTTTAAAAAATTAGCTTCCCTTCTATCTGCATGTATATATCAGTACATAATGTACTGGTACACTGTTTTATTATTATAAATAAATTGGAATCAGGGGCAGATCTACAGGAATATTCATGGGGTGTCTAGAGGGTGACCTGGAGACTTTAAGGGGTGGAAGAAATATATAAACAATCATATATCAATATTTACTTGTAAAAGCCCCCAAATGAAGATATTTGAACATTCCATTATTGTGGCATATTAGTAAAGCATTGAATAGAAATATTTAAAAGTAGCATTAGAAATCAATTAATTGTTTTATTGCCAAATACATTCATTTTACTTAAATCTTAGTTTTTTTCATTAAATTAATTTCCGTTTTTCAAACAAAAAAACAAGTGTTTAGGATGCTATAACGTTTAGAAATACTTCAAAAAAAGTGCCAGAAAAGCTTTTTCTCTGATATTATAAAATGTCGTGTATGAGATGAACCCAAAATACATTTCCTGTACTGAACAGTTCTGTAAAGAACTTTAATGACAGATCAAGCTTTGTAAATAAAGATTTTGTCCAAAAAAAAAAAAAAAAAGAAAAGAAATACAGCCATTCCGCAAAAAGAGACGGGCAGCAATATGGCGCACACACAGAGGCTCTCTTCTCACACAGCTGTCCAATCGGCTTTCCCCGTTGCTGACAGCTGGCCAATCACAGAGCTCGCATCAGGCTGAAAACTATTCAACATGGAGACAACAGTTGAAAAGCTTGAAGCGATGGTAAGCACAGTGTAAAACTGTTATTTTCTGTAATATCCCTTCTCTCTAATGGTTCTTATCCTCGTTGAACGTTTCCAGAGACATTCAGCAACTCATTAATTATCGATAAGTTATTAATACGGCATTGCTGTCACAGTGAGAGCAGCCAAGTCCTGGTTTTCTCTGTGTGTTCATAAACAATTCAAACTCCTTTGCGCCGTTCAGAAGGCCTTTCTACGTCCCGTTAGAACACCGAATATTACAACGCCGTTTGGAACCCTTCAACTTCAACCACAGAACTGTTAATATGGCGTCCAGCGTAAAGGCACTTACGGCGTAACGTTATGCTTTCGAAAGCGGCTTTCTGCTCTCTTCAAGATACATAGCTGTTGTTCCGGTTTCTAAAGTATTTCCATTAAATAGCATCATAACAACACAGCCGTTGTTTTCCGTGTTGTTTTAGCTTAATGGTTGCCTTTTCCAAAAAACAAACAAACAAAATATTTTTTTATTCCAAATATACTTTTTTCACAATTCTACACTGCTGTTTGTACGAGTTATTTAAAGCTGCACTAGGTGTTTGTCATAAAAAAACAAACAAACAGAAAACATTATTTTGTCATATTTGTTGAAACTTTCACTATGGACAAAAACAAAGAATCATTGCCAAGAAAGATAGTTGATTGAGTCCCTGAGTGTCACATACAGATGCTTTGGGACCCTGGGAATGATTCAAACCTCCAACCCAAAGCGTCTTTATGTCTTTCTCGGCCCAGTGTGAATGCTGTAGGCATATCTACATGCATACAGCCTATTAATGATCAAATTGACATTTGTTGTTGTGGATGATAAGTAACAAACACTTTCACCTTCTATTTCTTCTTTCAATTGCTAATGGCAATGAAGATGACTTTACTGTAAAGCCAAACACTACTACTTGATTTTTCCTTGAAAATTCCTGTAAAATGTCCTGAAAAGTTCCTGAAAATTATTTCTTAAAAAGGGTCGGGGCCATCATACTGAAGCAGATATTAAACTACAGAATATATTTCATGACATTTCAAGTCTGTCCATTGCCCCTTTTATATTGTACTACTGGTAGCCCTGCTGGAAAAGCAGTGCAATGTTAAAAGGGCATTGGCCAGAAATAGTAGCAAGTTAAGGAAATGTTTCCAAACTCTGAAGCTTCAGCTGTTGGCAGGTGCTCTGACTTCATTGCACTACTGTATCAGACAGCTAGCAGTGCAATAGTATTGTCAAAGCATCTGAAAACTGCAGAGAGCAGCTGCACTGACTACTTTTAAATTGTAGACTGTATGAAGTCATGTCGACGTGATAGACGGACTATGGTATGGTCTGATGGAGTGTTTCACAGCACACTAGGTCCAGGTTCAACAGTGGAAAGAAACACTATAAGATTTGGTATTTGTTATGATTTGGCGCCCCCAGTTGCAATAACACTGGTAAATATAGACAATTTATGATTACATTACTTACGATCAAAAATTACTGACACAGCCAAACATCAGCAAAGTGCAATAATACGAGACATAACAAGCAGCTAATATAACTGACTAGGCCATCAGCCTGAAGGGTAACTCACTCCTGTGTTATCAGTGTAAACACCAACACTCCCCCGGTGCTCTGAACACCCAGTCTTGGGCATCCAGTGCTGTACTGCTAAGCTAACTACCTAACAGCAGCTACATTTCACAGCAGTTACTTTACAGTCCATCAGGAAACTCTGTAAATAACAGTTGAGGTGGAGCAGCTGGAGGGCATCAGAGGAAAAGACAGAAAAGGTGTTGTGTCACCACTGCCGTAAAGCCTTACACACTTGTCTCGACCCGGAGCAAAAAGTTACATACTGCAACAACAGGTGTATGGGGAGCAGAGTGGGAAGTGATTTTGGAGTTGTTACTTTAAGGTAACATAATGGGGCTTTAATCCAATAATTGAAAATAAGATATATATGCATTAGCTTTTCTAAAAAAAAATGAGATTGCATGAGAAAGTGAACATAAACGGTTGTGATGTGATAGTGATCAAAATTGTTCCAGTGAGAAGTAGCACTGTTTGCACAGGGTTAAATGTGAGACTTTGTGTGCAATGTGAGAAATGCACATGTCTATATGGTCTGCATCTTCACAGCTAGAAACAAGAAACTGACTTTGGTGACCTATGAATCATTTTCTTGTGCAGAAAACTACAGTGATTGTTTGGGGAGAAGTTGCTGTGATTGGACAAAGTTGTAAGGTTGCGTAGAATTCACAGGTATTGGTTAAAATTGAGTTTATTGATAGCAACATTGCAACTAACTGGATGGACTGCTTATGGCACAGAAGTATTTTTAATAATTAGTAATTAGTGCAGTAAGCCTGTCATAACAGCTAATCTTACTTAATGCACTGAAATTTGGGTCAGATTTGTCATCCTGATTCTTTGTAATAATTTTACCAGTTTTAGATCGCTTGTATTTAGACATCATTTGACTTTTGAGAACTTTGGCATTTACCATTAAACTTTTGTTCAATTAAAAAAGGAATTGGTATCAGTACTGAAACTCAGGTTTACATATCAGCAGTAGAAACATTTCAGGAAAAAAGCCAGACCTACATATGAGCAGGGTAAATTTGCCAGTGTACTATTAAAGCGTAAAGCTGTGCGTCTTTGCAGTTCCTGAAGTCAGAGGCAGACCTGGAGTACATTGAGAAGCGGCTGAAGCTGGATTTCATTAACAGCACTGCAGAGAATGGATGTCCTGCTGAGGTGAGGTGGATCTTTCTCCTAACATTCTCACACAACTAAAGACATGACCAATTCAACAACATCTGCAGTCTGTAGGGCATTAAATAGCCACTGCAGTTCACATGCAATATCAGTTATTGGATGGTTAGGGTTACAACTAACAATTATCTTCAGTATTGATTAATCTGTTGATCATTTTCTCAATTAACTGATTTGTTGTTTGTTCGTTAATCACTAATTGTTCCATACAAACTTCCTTTGTTATTAGGAGTCTTTGCAATTAGAGATTCCAAAGATTCAATGTGCATCATTAATTCTAACCATTCAGCAAAATCAGGCTTTGTCTGACCTCTGACAGAACAATCCTTGAAGGGGCCAACAAAGCCTGGCCAAATTCCTGTTTTCCTTATAAACACAGCTGGGTGGAAGAAAATATCAGTCCACTTTAGTATTGCAATATTGTATTGATTCCCAAAAACACTGAAGTGATTTTTGTGTTTATAAGGGGGTGCTGTAATTATAACTAAACTGAGGGCTGTGATTTTGGAAGTAACAGTGTAACTGTGATAAATACAAATGCAGATCCTACTGTCCTAAATTCTTTAATTGCAATATATTGCCTTGCTTACAGTATCACAATATATGGAATCATAACCTTAATATTGTGATGCGTGCACATCAAATTAAGAAAAGTACATGCTTAATTTTTACACCTCCAACAGTAATCAGTCATCCATGAGTCTCGTTTTGAATTTTAATTGGTTTTATAATAATACTTGTTTATTACTTTGTAATGTAGATTAAAATGTTAATAATTTTGATTATTACTAATATTGGAAATCCATTATTTTCTACATTATCATTAATGAAGACCATCAGAGAGGTTTTTCACCCGTCTTGTTGCTAAACATGCCAGTTAACAATATGCAATGTGAAATGTGCCAAGAAGCATCTGAGGCTTGAAGGTGAGCCAGTTGAACAGTAAGTCTGTACAGGCTAATGACTGAGCCTGTATCTGCAGGAGAACCCAGCGGTGATGCTGGAGAACCTGAGGGCCATCAAGGCCAAACACACAGCACTGTGCTCTCAGGTAAAGGAGATTGCAGCTGCACAGAAAGAATCCATGGACTCCATAAGGAACAACCTCAGCAGCGTCATGGACGTGATCCAACACTTCCAACAAACCACTGATGTGGAGGTAAGAAAGCAAAGTTTGTTTCTATAAATCACAAAGTGCTTCACAGTCAAAGAAATAAAAGCAAATAGAATCAAAGTTAAAACATTAGATAAAATATACAAGGGGAACAGACGTAAGACACCAGTTAAAACATGAAATACCACATGCTAGTTTCTTGAACGGTGGCGTGAACAGCCACTAACAAACGTACACCCCTTACTTAATGGTCACGCCTTACCTGAAACAATGCTCTGTTGTTGTTGTTGTTGTTGTTGTTGGTGGTTCAATCCCCGGCTCCTCCTGCCACATGTCGAAGTGTCCTTTAGCAAGATACTGAACCCCAAATTGCTCCTGATGCTGTGCATCGGTGTGTGAATGTGTGTGAAAGGGTGAATGTGGCATGTAGTGTAAAAGCGCTTTGAGTGGTTGGAAGACTAGAAAGGCGCTATACAAGAACAGGTCCACTTACCATTTACCATAATCAAGGTTTCACCAAGTCCCTCAACTGTAGAGGATAGAGATGCACAGAATGTTGAGCCTTGTATGTAAAAAGATATACTACAATCATTTTCAGTTGGATTTTATCTGCACAAAACCCCATTCATTTGTTCATTCTGTGATTCAGTGTTTTATTATGAACATACAATTGAATTTCCCATTAACTTTTGTATGCTGTCAATTATAGTTCTCATAGAGAAAGAAAATTGGAATTGGCCAAAAATAAAAAAGGAATCTGTGTATCTCTAGCACAGGCCTCTCAAGGGACGAAGTCTGGTGTTTGTTTTGATCTGGTTAAAGGAGACCTAATAATGGCTTTTAAGACAGATACAGCCATTAGTGTTACAGATTGTCTGCAAAGAGAACTGAAACCCCCAAATCTTACATTAGCAGAACAAATATGATGTCACAGAAGAAATGTAATACAGCATTTTATTATACACAAATATATATATATATATATATATTGCAGCTGTGGTTACAAACGGTTCACTGTGTCCTTGTTTACCTGCTGCAGGTTCAGCCACTGACAGACTCAATGCAGGACTCACTACAGATCCTGGGTTCAGCTTTCAGTGAGACCACAAAGCAGGTAAGACAAACAACTGCCAGGAATCTTTATGTTGCTTACTCTTTTTGACATAGTCAGCACTTCCTCAGCTGTTTCACAACAAAAAGGCATCCAGTGATTTACTGATTTATTAGCAGGACGTCTTTGGTTTACCTCAGTGATAAC